ATTCACATAAAGCTGCAGAATGTCCAGACTCCAGGCTTTTAAAGTGCTAAACTCACAGTGAGATATACACAGACTGTGACAGAAGCAAATAAGTGGCCCTGCTAAACACTCAACGCCTGAGAAATTAGTCAGCTCTATTATTCTAAAGCAGCAAGCATGAGGAACACTTAGAACAAACCAACACAAACTGTCAGCAGTAGCACAGGCTTATTTAGAGAGCTGTCAGCTATGCTAACACTAACAAAAACACACCAGATTTGTATAATTACAGTTGAAATGATTGTAAAATAATAAAGACTTTGCTGAACACAACAGGCTAAAATAACAAGCCTTGGATTTGATCAAATGACTGGCCAATCCACTTTTTTATATAATGAATAAAACGGATAACCTGAGGTGAAATTGTAACATCTAAATTAACTGCTTTTATTAAAGTCAAAAACATTTACCAACTCATTCATTTTGTCCCAACACTAATCAATTAAGTTTACTTAACAAATTATTATGGATTAAACTTAAAACAATTAAGTTGTCCCCAAAACATCTCAAGAATTATGTTATTTCTTTAGGTACCACTTGCAAATGTTTGCAATGTGTAATCTGATTATGGCCAATGAACAGGAATACAGAGCAAGAAAAAAAACAGTTTGCTGTTTACACGTGAAACAAACTATCTAAAGTGACTTTCTAAATAAATACTGAAATTTTCTTTTGCATGTTGCTATTTTTTTATCCTGATGAGTGAGGAGGGTGTCAGAGGCGTTTGCATGACTTACAATGACAAAACTCTTATTTACATAATTCATCAATGGATGGCCTCTTGAACCATTTTAGTTTGTATAATACTGGAGGGGGTGGGGTGGGGGTGGAGGGTTGAATCCTATTCACATTGTATTAGTTAATACATTTGTGAATTATAAAGTGATTATAAAGATAAATTTTTATTACTCCAGTCTTCAGTCACATTATCCTTCAGAAATCACTGTAATATTTATTACTGTTGTTGTTGTTATTATAATGGTAACAGTAATAAAAGCAATAATAACTGGACTAAAAATTTCTTTTGAAAATACATACAATAAGTAATAAATAAATATTTAATAAATTAATATTTTCTTTTAATAAATGCTGCCTTGACAAACTGAATCAGTTTCTTATGAAAACTTTTGACCAGTAGTGTAGATTTTTTTTATTTTAGCTAATTTTTGTTTCAAATTAAACAACAAGCTTTTCCATTAAATTTTGCAGTAAATGTGTAATATATATATATATATATATATATATATATATATATATATATATATATATATATATATATATATATATATATATATATATATATATATATATATATATATATATATGTGTGTGTGTGTGTGTATGTGTGTATATATATATATATATATATATATATATATATATATATATATATATATATGTGTGTGTGTGTGTGTGTGTGTGTGTGTGTGTGCGTTCAAATAAATGTGGTTTTAATTTTTTATTTAAATTTTTTTTTAAGGATTTTGTCTTTAAAATTTGCTTTAGGAATTATTGAGTATAACTAAGAAGTCATTTTTAAAATTATAAAAAATTCATTCTTAAAATCTGTCATCACTGCAAAATAAAAAAAACAAAGAAAAGATTTTTGTTCCTGTTGACCTGTTAAAACAAGTTTGATTAGGTTTTGGCCAAGAATGAAGATTTCAAATGTTATTTTGTATTCACAAAAGTCTAATGTTTTTCATTATTATTATTGTTTTTATTAATGTCAGAAAAAAAGAGTTAGCAGAAAATTCACTACAAAACAATACATATATTACATACAGAAAGAGTATTTCTATATTGTTTGCCTTGTAATTGAAGCCACTGAGTCTGTGGCCACAAAACTCCAAGGAAAGCTTTAGTGACTTCCACTGAATTAAAATTCCTGTCATTCAAAAAAATTCACACAACCGCCACCACTTGTTTGCTTATGCCAGAATACACTGATACACAAATTTTCCTCTACAGTCCATTGAGAAAAAGTGTTTTATTAACCAAAATTCAATCAAGCATCAAAAAAGTTGAATACTTAATGCTTACTGCATAACTGCATTGCACTACTGTATTGCCTCCTGTTTTTCACACTGTAAAAGTCTTGCTTATCTTCACACATTAAGTAATAAACAGCCATATTCTTCATTGTTGTGATATGATAACTGTTTACTTTAAATGTGAATTTGTTATCTTGAGATCACAAATGCCGATACCGCCTTTTCTATAAAGAAGTCTGATTTATAATAGAGAAATAAAGAAGGGAGAGATTAGTGATGATACTATTCCAGTTATTCTGGTTCATTCTTCACACTGGTAACAGCAGGCCAAGCTAAGGGCACTGTATTTTTATAGATGAAGATATAATCCGTGCTGCATGTCTGCTGTATACTCTACATTTCACATTAAGCATATACAATTACTTCAAATGAGAACTGAACATAAAAAAGAAACAGTTGATATATATAACAACTGTTTCATTTTAAACTTTTTTATTTAAATGCATTTCATTAGACTGTATTTTAAAAGAATTTAATAACTTGTGTTCGAGTAATAAATTCTAGAGTTTTGTTTGGTGATTACTTGTGATCACCAAACTATGATTACTTATCTTTCAGCAGAATTCAGTTCAAGAAATGAAAATAAAATATTTCAATATTCAGCCTTCATTCTGCTACTGTTGTAATGATGGATGAAACAACATTTACTTTATGTAACCCGAATATCAAGAAAACAATTCTTAAGATATTCTAAAATGTTTTCCATTCTGCTCATGTACTTTTCAGGTTTCAGATACGTACTCTGAAAAATTGTCAAAAAAAAAGGCTGCTAGACTGCTTGTTATTATAAAACACTACAACAACATAAATCGATAATAAATATCATATTTATAACCTGTTCTCAATACCTCATAAAATATTAAGTACATAAAGCCACCTCTTTTTTTATAGTCGGAAAAAAAAAATTGTTGGATGTAAACTGTTGTTACGCTAAATAAAATTTTAGTAAGTGTCTTGTAAAACCCATAGAGCTATTGCATTTGATCGTTTTAACATTAATGTGTAGAATTAGAATGTTTGGTATATGTTCTTTAGCTTTTTGTTTTAATTAGTGTCCTGGGGGAGGCAAAACAAATCATATTATTACTTTCTTTTTATTAACTCTAATGACGTCAGTTCTAGCATGAAAACTTTCACTTAAATGTAAAACCCTCTATGTGGCAGAGCAACATTTTATGACTCGCCTGTAGAGCATTTTTCTGCCAACTGCACAAGGGTGGGCAGCCCTTAGGAAATATCCTGTATAAATCCAGCGAGCACAAGAGATTACCCTCGGATGACAGGTGAGGAATCTCTTTGTAAGCTCAAGCGATGTTTAACCTTTACAGAGAGGCTTGTTGTCTTGGCGTCTGTCCGAAAAACAGCCCATTTTCAGCATAACGTCTCAGCGCAAGACCCTTCAGTCGGCCTCAAGTGCAGGTTTGCACATAAGAGCTTTTGTCTGAGTATTTGCTAAGTACTTGCATGAAGCAAACTGCTGAAGACAATATACAGTTGAAGTCAGAATTAATAAGCCCCCTTTTTAATTTTTTATTAAAATTTCCCAAATGATATTTAGCAGAGCAAGGAAATTTTCACAGTATGCCTCATAATATTTTTTTTTCTTCTGGAGGAAGTCTTGTTTGTTTTATTTTGGCCAGAATAAAAGTAGTTTTTAATTTTTTAAAAAACATTTGAAGGTCAAAATTATTAACCCCTTGAAGCCAATTTTTTCACCTGATAGTCTACAGAACAAACCACTGTTATATAATAACTTGCCTAATTACCCTAACCTGCCTAGTAAACCTAATTAACCTAGTTAAGCTATAAATTTCGCATTAAGCTTTATAGAGGTGTCTCGAAAAATGCATAGTCAAATATTATTTACTGTCATCACGGCAAAAATAAGAGTTATTAGAAATGAGTTATTAAAACTATTATGTTTATAAGTGAGTTGGAAAAAGTATTCTTTAGTCCTCTTAGTGACACTTTAGTTCATGTAACAATTCACACCCTTTACTACTGGCTTATTACCAGCCTATTATTAAGATTTGTACTGTTTTTTAGCACTTATAAAGTATGAAATTACTTTACATCGCTATACCTACCCAACACCAAAACCCAACTACCTTACTAACTATTATTAAGCAGCTAATTAGTAGTTTATTGAACAAAAAGTCTTAGTAGCGATAATATTTAAAAAATTATTTTATTAAAATAAAAATATTTCAATAAAATCATTTTTTTTAATTATTATTAAAAACTGCAAGAAAAAACAGTGTGTGAAACTGGCAGCCATTATCTTCCACAATATTTTTTTTATCCAGCTATTGATGTCAACGGTTATCTTTAGTAGAATTTCTTTAAAAAACAGGGGTGGACTATCCCTGTAAGAACATAATTTTATGATTTGCTTTAATCAAAGACCTCATTGTGAGAATGAGTATTTAAACAGAGCTACAATCTACAAAAACTCAAATAGATTTGTTGTAGAAAAATTTGCTTTTTTACATTCTCTTAAATAAAAACATCTCCCTGACATGTAAACCAGATACCAGCCCGAGGTATCGGCCTGTCTATACCCACACACCAAAATGTAACCCAGATTTGCATGTTGTTAAAACAGAGGGAGGCACAGACTGTGGCTTACAAAGACATATTTACATCTTCTCACACAGATGAAACCGCCTGACACGGCATTGAGGAAAAAAAAATAACCCGCGGAGGCCAGAAGTTTGTGTTGCCACTAATCAGGGCTATTAGAGCTCAATAATGCTCCACTTTAGCCAAAATGAATCCCAATCTGTTTTGCTTGCTACAAAAATAAATCTGCTCGTTTTCCATCAGTACCTGAAGAGCTAAAAAAAAAAAAAAAAATAGATAAAATAGCTCCCCGAAAGAGAACAAGTTGTGCATTTGGTAAACGTAATATGATATAAGGCACAAATCTGCAGGATAAACAAAAACAGGAAGTGCAGTACTCTTAATAATGTTGGGTTATTTCAACCAAATTTAGGGTAAAATATAGACAAAACCAGCTGCTGTTTTTTATCAGATGTATAGGACCAAATTTAACCTACTGATTGGGTTAGGCCATATTTTACCCAATTTTGATTGAAATTAGTTTAAAAAGTGACTTAATGTTTGCTAAAGGCTACTCTAAAATATACTTGGTTATTTAAAAGTGCTTAGTTTTTTAAGTGTAATTGTTTCCACACAAATTGAAGTAAATAAAAGTGAGCGATTGAGAGTGTGTTTAAAGATATACAAATCTGCAGAGGCATGTGCTTTCAGCCTCGTGACAGATAACCTGCTTGAAGAGGTGTGGCTAATAACTCTTCAGGTAGTGTGTTCCTTGGTCAGCACAGTCAGTTATTGACTGCTCACTTGTCTCTTCCACATTACGAAGACCACTACCAAAAAAGACTGTTTATGTGAGTGCTTCCATTTTTTATGTTCACTTAGTTTTGCATGAACTCCTCTGAATTAAGGACACTGTGGTGTAAGGATACACTTAACGATACAGATGAAGATCAAAGGAACAGATCTTTCTGCTTGGGGATTTTAAGGTCTGCATTATGACTGGTACTTTTTCACCAGAATACATTCAGCAAGCAAAGACCATTTGCTGCTCCTGACAAAGAACCCGGTGAACCGAATCAGTGACAGTCAGACTATAGTGATTTCCAAGCTGTGCTACCTTTGGGAGCGATTCTAACTAGAGTCATGCCTGTGGTTAAAGTGGAGAGTGATTCTCCCTCTGAAACCACTCTTCCAGTGAATGACAGTCAGAGAGCAGAGCCGCAAAGAGGCCGTCGGAGGAAGAGGCCCCTTCAGCGAGGCAAACCACCATACAGCTACATCGCTCTGATCTCCATGGCCATCGCTAACTCGCCTGACCGCAAACTCACTCTGGGAGGGATCTACAAGTTTATCACCGAGAGGTTTCCCTTCTATCGAGACAACTCCAAGAAATGGCAGAACTCCATCCGCCATAATTTGACACTCAACGACTGCTTTATCAAGATCCCACGAGAGCCCGGTAGGCCCGGAAAAGGCAACTACTGGGCTCTTGACCCTAACGCCGAAGACATGTTTGAAAGTGGAAGCTTCCTACGACGTCGAAAGCGGTTCAAGCGCAGCGACTTCACTACATATTCATCATATGTGCACGAATCTCCCGTTTTCTCACCGGTCCAGATTGCGCGCTCAGCCTACGCCAACTCCGTCTACTCCAACATGGCTGTGAGTCCGCCATACGCACAACAGCTTCCTTCTGCTTACTACCAGTCCTCCTCTCCAAACTTCACAGCGGGTCAGTCAAGGGTCTTCAGAATCAATTCTCTCATTGGGTCACCAAGCCGGATGGGTCAAAACGCAGAGATGATCCCACAGCAGTCCTGTCGCAGTTTCAGTCCTGAAAGTGGCTCCTGCAGTTTGGGAGGACCGGGCTTCCAGCATCAGTCCTGCAACGGGGAGACTGTGCTCTCGTGCTATTCTAGCTCCTCAAACAACATGGCCTTTGCCTACTCTGGCCCAGGACATGGACAAACTCAGGTTTCATATCCACAAGCCAGCACTCAGCATTATGGGCCAGCAGGGAGGATGGCCATCTCCAGCTTGTCTCCCATTGCTGGTGATGCTGTCGGGGACCCTTATGGCAGAACCTCTCCTGCACAGCTGGGCTCTTTTGTTCAGTACAATAACTCTGGTGCGGTAGGAAGCTCAGGAGCCTATATCAGGCATCCGGCTTACTCGGGTAATATGGACAGGTTTGTGTCTGCCACCTAACAAAGGTCACGGATGACTTTTTTTTCATAGCAAGAACCGCTGGCACAGGAACATTTAAGGGAACATTTTTTAGCAAATATGAAATGCGTTGTGAAAAAAACTGTGATATTTAAATTGTCTTATTGTGATTGTATTAAGAGTAAGATCTCAATTTACACGTACAGATCTTTCCTATTACAACGTTGTAAAAACAAACAAAAAAAGCACAAAGTGCATTTTTCAAAGTGAAAAATGTTTACAAAGATAAAACCTCTTTTTAGTGAGGTCTTTGATTTTTTTTATCATTTGAGTTAAACATGTTTGTGTGCTTTGTATATGCTTTTCTTATAATTGCCATCTATGGTAAAAAATATGTTTCTTTCATTTACTTTTCATTGAATTATATTTATTTAATTCAATGATTTCTTTTTTTGTTTTTACACAAAAGGCTGTTGCAGCATCTTTTAAAGAAAATGTAAATCATATTCACCATTTCCATCTGATACTCACTATATACAGACCTCCACAACAGGCTCTAAAGCAAGAAAATCACATACTAAAAATTAAACCAGTCAGCTAAAGTAAACATACAGAATTTGTCATTTATTTCTAAGTGTGGACATGGCAAATAACATTTCCCCCCAGGTATAACAAAAATGCACCACCACATATTATATTGTTTTAAATAATAAAGTATTTAAAAAGAAAAAAAAGTATTTAAATTATTGCACCAAATAAAAGTTTAAAAATAAACTTACAGCATCCGGTGAGAAACAGATAAGAGTATTGCTGCTGTTGCTAGACTGCACATATTTACATATGTGGTCAGAGTAAGTGCACAAAAAAATACTATTGAACTATTGTCACTTTACCGAACAATCAGTAACTATTATGTTAAAAAAATATATAAAGCTCCTTCAGTATTTAAAACACTCCACAAATATTAACCAAATTACACTTAAAATTGAAATTTTTTGGTCTCAAAACTCAAATATCAGATTAGTGTAAGTTTTTAACAAGCTCATGAAGTTGCCAGTATTTTCGCTAAGATTAACTTGACGTTTTTTAACATGCCATTTTTATCCATTGAATTAGTCCCTGTGTCAACAATTTGTACCCATCCAACAAAAAAGCAAAGGTAAAAGTCTTAATCATGCGAGAAGGGAAATTTTAGCAGTCATCTGCGTAGGTTTGAAATGACAGGCAAAAGTAGAGACGGAGGTATTGAGTATCAGTGAAGCAGAAGAACACCATCATTGAACATTGTGCTTGAATGGGGTGGATTAAAACATCACAACCATCATCAGGTTTTCACAAGCACTGGCATGATTACAGTAACTGTGATTAATTACTGGACTATCTGCTCATCAATCAGCCTTTATATGTAGGATTCAAACTATGAGTAAACAAACAAAACCAAACAAAAAGCATTCAGTCGGGAATTTCTGTTAAATTTATTTATTTGTTAATGGTAACAATTCTAATAGTTTAAAACACATGTACAGAATTTAAATTAAGATGATGACGTTTTTGAACAGATTGTGTCATTACACTAATTCAACATTAAAATCAATCTTACAAAGTCAGCTGATTGGCCAACACTTCTCTAGAAATAATGTCTAAAGAATTTTATTTAGTTTAAATGGTTTACTGATAATGTATTACTTTTAAAAAATTCAACTAACACATTTGTTAACTTTCGCCAACTTATCCAAGAAATTCTGCAAGCTTTTGTAATTCAGGACAGCTCTTGACCAGATCGGGTATAGAGGACAATGTCTGTGAATACAAAAAGATAAATAAATAAAAGTAAATGGTGTAAATAATGTTTTTTTTTCCCAAATATGTACAGTATACAATTTAGATTTTCCTCTGACCTGTCTGACAGTTTCAATCATGTCGTCAAGCAGATGTAGTTCTCGCTCCATTTTACTCTGGTTCATGGCATGGACCCTTTGCTACAGAATCACAATACAATAATCCAAAATCCAAATGACATCAAAAAGATATTAACATTAAATGCACATTTAGTATTGTACTTAAAGAACATGTGAAATTTTGTCTGATCATACTTAAACAAAAAGCATTTTCTGAATTATTTGACCAGTACTACCAAGACGATGCATACCTATTCTGTACTGCTACACCACATGCAATAGAATATCAATGAATCTCTAAAATAATAAAATAATATAAAGAACAATAAACAGATAAGACTTACATGTCTTTTCGCCCTCTCCAAGACCTTAGCACGATTTTCCTCAGTTTCCATTAAATTTGCTTTGAGCTTCTCAACCTAAGAGCACAATGTGTGCAGGTATTCATATTAGTTAACATTTACAAAATGAGTCCGTGTCAATTCTAAATAGGAACTACATACAATTTAACTATTTACAATTTAATCACTGTAATTTTTTTTATATTATAATGACATTGAGTAATACTTTCAATTTTTGACTGATCTAATTGAAAGCAGAAACACTGCCATCTTACTGGAAGTCTCATAATGACGTTGAATTAAATAGTCATGTTAGAATGCATGACAAACTAGGTTGTAGAGAGTTGGGGGTAAAATAGAATAAATATTTAAATATTTAATGGCTCATAGTACTCACTGAAAAAAAATCTGGATGAACTACATTACCTCTCGGAGAAGTCTGATTCTTTCATCTAAGGTTTTGGCACTGGCTGCTGATTGGATGCCCGACTGGTCAAGCTCCTCCCTTAAGGCCTGAACCTCCACCTGTGTCTGCTGCACCAGCCGACGCAAATCAGCAACTTCTCGACGCAACTCCTGTTCCACACAAACAAAGTACAGGCTAAACACTACACAACGCTAACAAGACCACACCATTTTATCCATCAATCATTTATAGCTGAGGTCAGATTTATCAGCCCCCCTGTTTATTTTTCCCCCATTTTCTGTTTAACAGAGAGAAGACTTTTTCAACACATTACTAAACATAATGGTTTTAATAAGTCTTTTCTAATAACTGATTTATTTTATCTTTGCCACGATGACTACATATATACAGCTTAAAGAGACATTTAAAGGCTTAAATAGGTTAATTTGGTTAACTAGGCAGGATAGGGTAATTAGGCAAGTTATTGTATATTGATGGTTTGTTCTGCAAACAATTAGAAAAAATATAGCTCAAAGGGGCTAATAATATTGACCATAAAATGTTTATAAAAAAATTAATTCTAGCCGAATTAAAACAAATAAAACTCTTCAGAAGAAACAATATTATGAGACATACTGTGAAAATGTCCTTGCTCTGTTAAACATCCTTTGGCAAATATTTAAAAAGAAAAAAAATTAAAAGGGGAGTTAATAATTTTGACTTCAACTATGTAAGTGGCAATAGAGATTTCATGATGTCAGTAGTCAGTAAATGTACCCTCAATTAATACATACATTATTCTCTGCTTTGTATTTGTGTGCCGCTTCCATATTCTCCTCCATCTCACTGCAGAGTTTCCTCAGGTTTCTTTCATCCTTTAAAAATGCCAAGACATACATATGAATCATGTAATCGTATAATTCATCTTTTGACGCTCTAAACCGTCAAAGCATGTATGAATAAGCTTTTAAACAGTACCTGAGCTTTTTGCTGCAGGACCAAAGCATCTTTGTCCACCTGAGCCTGCAGTCTGTCCACAGTCTGCCGCAGCTGCGAGACCTCCAGGGTGTGTGTCTGAGATGCTTCCTGCATCGCCTCCTGCAGGCCACATCTGAAACAACATGTATATATGTATATATGTATATATATATATATATATATATATATATATATATATATATATATATATATATATATATATATATATATATATATATATATATATATGGTTTATCAGGAATGCTTCATTGTTTTTTAAATAAAAGCAAAATATGTATTAAATTGATAATATTATACAAATAAAACTGACAAGTCTGGTTTTGGAATAAAAATGACGGCATTCCCCTTTCTCTGCTGCATTAACATGCATGTTCAACAATAAATATTTGAATATTAATAAATTAATTTTATTAACAGCAAAAAAACTAAATATTTCTGCTAAATAGAAAGTAGAAATGGCCAATTTGCACACCAATCCCTCCACAAATACAAAAAAAAAAAAAAAAAAAAAAAAAAAAAAATCAACCCTTAATATTTTAGTAAATTATTTAATTAATAAAAAAAATTAATAAACAAAAAAAAAAATCAATGCAGGCAGACGCACTAAAACTTGGCACAAAATACAAGGAAGCAAAATCCAAAATTTTGAAAAAAAAGAGAGATGCAGCACTCTGATGTTCAGGTATGACCAGTTCAGCTACAATTTAAACTTAACTCATGTCATTTTGACTTGTGCCACATTTTACATTACATAAGAAACACTGGACAAAAATACACCATTTGATCACTCGCAATTTTTATTACTCTTCTGTGGAACATGAAAGAAGACGTTTTTTCAGTGGACATGAACGTTGTTTGGTTAAGTGTTCTCCAAAACATTTCTTTTTTTGTGTTGCACAGAAGAAAAAGTCATGCAATGTTTACAATATACAGCGAGTAAAATAAGCATTAAACACGTCACCATTTTTCTCAGAAAACAAAGTTCTTAAGGTGCGGTTTACTTGACATTTTCGGCAGACGTCTGTAACAACCAAAATAATCCATACATTCAAAGAAAACTAAATTAATTTGTTTAAAAATTAAGTGTAGTAAACTGAATGACACATGGAAAAAGTTTTAAGCTAAAGAAAGGGAAGTGGTAAAAGCCCAGAGAGCAGCTGAAATCTCTTAGCAGTAACCAACCCTGCACCTCATCACTGTAGATTAATATTAACTTCTTTAGTGTTTAAATAACCAGGATCATGATGAAGATGAAACCAGGGTGGACATTTCAGCAAGACAATCACCTCACTTGAATCCCACAGAAAATTAGAACTGAAGATTAGATTTCATAGAAGAGACCCCAAGAAACATTATTTTATATAAAGTATTAAATACATTTAATTCTCCTTGTGTCATTCCATTGTTATTACATGCAACTATTTTACTAGATTTTCTTTTGTTTCTGTTTATTTGTATGTTTGGGTTATGTTAACAGCTCCTTTAGAAATACAATAACCAGGAAAAACCATGTGTTTAATACTTATTTTACCCGCTGTTTATTATTATTATTATTATAATTATATGCACTTATGCATTTAGGGCAAGCCACATATACCACAACTCAAATTCAAACCCCAGCCTTTCTCCTATTTGCATTAACCAAGTAGTAAACGAATTTGAGACTTACATGGTCTGTTTCAGAGTCTGCTGCTCCATGTCCTTCTGAACTCTCAGTTGGTCTAAGTTCAATAGAAGATCTGAGATGGACTCACCCAAATCAGACAACAGCTCCAGCATATGGCTCCGTCTCACCTCTGAGAAAACATCAGAACAGTTACATATCCATTTTATTCATACACTATTATTCTAGACTATTGTATCTAGACCAGTGCTAAAAAAGCAAAACGTTCTTTTAACTACATATACAGTTGAGGCCATAATTATAAACCCTCCTGTGAAATTGTTTGTCTTTTCAAATTTTCAAATGCACCCTTAAGATTGTTTTGATTGTCCTTTGAACAAACCAGAGTTATCCAAGAACTTGCCTTGTTAACCTACCTTTCCTATCCAAGGTAAATGACCTAGTTAAGCCCTAATAGACACCTATGATGAAAATCATCTTCTGTTTGGGCAGGACTGTGTGTAGGTATAGTGTGTCTACAGTCATATTGGAGAGACAAACACAATAAGTCTCTTTTTTTTAGTTTCCTGACGTTAAAATATGATCCAAATTACTCCCATTTTGAGGCCCACTGCAACGTGACGTAGGAGTGTGGTTTCCCCACCCACCAAATTTAGCAGATGTGTATTAATGTGTCTTCATATCAACAAAACAGGGTGTGCGCATAGCAACTGGGATTAAGAGATCTGTTGAGTTCTCTGTGATCATCAATCATCATCAAATGTGATCAAGAATGAGTTTTAAAGCATATTTTAAATGTGCATGTTTGTAATGAATTACAGTAGTTTTACCATCTTTACTTTATCACCACAGCTGCATGTCAGTACAATTATAAAAGAAAACACTTCAATCCCAGTTTGTGGATGATAAATCAGGTTTATTTTGTACATTAACATAGCGAATATTCATACAGCAGTGGATGTGCATCTGTCACACGCATGCACTGTGTGTGTGTGTCCGCTGTGTGTGTGTGTCCGTTATGTGTGTGTGTGTGTGTGTGAACTTTGTAGCGACATTGTGTGTCACTCATCATTCTCATTGACTCATTAACTCCACAACACGGGAAAGTTTCATTGGTTAAGTTCTTACTGTAGTATTTCTAACAAACGTTACGTGAGATATGCTTCCTTCATGTCTGTCACTGTACTGGTTCAATCGCAGCCGGGGTGGAGATTGAGGCACACTCTGACAGGCACATGGGAACGGTGGGCGGGGAGAGCCGGCATTAAAGGCACAGGCAACAAAAACAGCTACATTGTGTTCAGAGCAGAAAATTACAAACTTTTGAAAGGTATAATAAATAATCTGATGGGTAATTTGAGCTGCAACTTAAAGGGCCACGAAAACCCACTGTTTAAGCAGGGTGTTTTCACACTTCTAGTTTGGAAAAAGTCAGGAAAGTGGGTGTGTCAAGCTCTGTTTAGGTGGGAGTGTCAGGGGAGAGAAAGAGGGAAGGTTTTGGATAAAAATGGGCACGCGCTGATTTTCAGAGGCAAAACAAACACAGACGCAGGGAAGGAAGACAGTGACTGTGTTAACATAGACATCACTCATTCATTCATGCATGCCCCCTGTGACAAACTGCTGGAAGAGTGTAGTTTCAATGGAATGTTTGATACTACACGGCAAATGGGAGAAAAACTCAGTAGGTATCATCAGAAAGCAGTGTTTGTATAGACTATCCTGTTACAAAATGCGGTGAAAATTTTACACGACATAATAGTTTGATAAACACTGAAGGAATACTACCGATGATGCAAACTAACTTTGCCATTTAAATAAACAAACAAAGGCCACTGATCGCTCACTTACCAAATCTGTAGAGACAGGACAATCAACACAAACTGGAACCACGTCTTTTTTACAAGGAGATGAGTGGCAAATGCGGATTTCACCATTTTCAGATGTTAAAAGCTCTTGGGTAAAAATGTTCTTTACAAACGCATTTCTGCAGCGTGTCGTGTGCACTGTAATCCACACGTGAGTCCAGCTGTGCTCTCATAGCGGGAAATGAAAACAAAACCTTTGTTGCAGCACATTTATAAATGCAACGCTGACGACCCACATCTTTAAACAATTCTTCTTCCACTTGTTTTGGCAACACAATGTGGCCAAAATCTGCCGTCTGAACACTGTAACAGGTAAAAAGGTCTTTGAAGCTATCATGCATATTAATGAAGTTGCACCTCATACACAATAGAGCACGCTGATTAGTTTGAACCAAGTCTTTCTCATGTATTAATGCTACACACTCCGAAACGTCACGATGTACTCGCAGGTACAGACATCCACTCTCTATACTGGAATACACGCAAAGATCTAATCGGCGTGATACAGCTTCAAAAATTCATTTCAAACCGGAAGATTAAATTTGCTCGAAATAACGAAAAAACAACCAATTTTAACTTTTTTTGAGAAATATGTGTCCAAATAGTGTTTTTAGCAGCATGGGACACATATATGACTGTCAACAGCTCAAAAATGTGTTTTGGTGTTTCGTGACCCTTTAACAGATTCTGGAGACTTATCTTTAATTATGAAAAAGGCCCTTTAAAATGCCACTTTAAGCTAAATACTAGTATCTTGCAAAATAACTAATGAAATAGCATGTATTGTCATCATGGCAAAGCAAAATAAATTTGTTATTAAAAATTAGGTAGTAATCTACTATAATTTAGAAACGTATTGCAATCTCTCTGTAAGACAGTGGCTTACATCACTTTAATTTTCATGTGAAAACGTCTCTTACTTTGGTTCTCAGTAACACATTTACTCACGGGGAGCATAGTTTCTGCGCATGGACACACATTCTTTCATGAACAGAGCCAGCTCAGAGATTAATTAAAGAAATGGGGGAAATGCAAAATACTCATTTTAAATTTTTTATACAAAACCGAAAAAGCTGCAATATCCATATGTATGTTGAACCGTGAAAGTCATACTGAATGCTTCAATATTATACAGAGTACTGTGGCACACCTAATAGCAACACAGTCTTAGTTTAACTCTAGGTACTAGCAGTTGAGGACAAAAACACAATGTGATATCGGATATCTAAATGCATTATTAGCTGGTAATAAACATACCTTTTACTTCAGTCTGTGTAGTTTGCAGTATTCGGGTAAAAGCGCTGGTTTCGCTGCCAATACAGTCTTGTGGCTCTTCCCTCTCCTCTGCAAAACATCAGAAAACATAAACGAGTCGATCAGTAATGATGATATATTAATTAAATTTCCTCTTGATGGAAAAGTGCTTCAACCCTATAATATACACAATACTGACATAGAACAAAACTATTTCTATGAATACACATTCATAGGTCTTAGGTGTACTTTTGATTGACAACAGTATTCACACACCTTTTATGTTTGTCATTATTGGACAAGACAAACAGCATTTTTAACCTGTTATTTAGTTTGCATTTGTTTAAAGTAGCAGCTATAGTCAGAATCGCTAATAAGATAATCAAATGTCCCTGTATTAGTAGCTTTGCCAAATTGACACAAAGTATGGAATATTAACACACCTGAATCCTGTGAAGTCTCTGTTTCAGGTTCTTGTGTCTTCATAATAGCCACCATAATAGAATCCACAAAAGAGCTGGAGGGATGTCGATGAGTTTGCAGAGTGTTTTCAGAGGACTTTGACTCCTGACCAGTGAAAGATGGCAACAAAATGTTAATTCAGACAAAAAAAAAAGTTGTGTGAACAAGTATTTTTGTAAAATTTTAATAGTAATTTTTAAAAAAGTCATTAAAATTTTACAGGAGTAAATTACATTTTTGTAAATAATACTTTTACATCCAACCAGCACAGAAGTGAGGCACGCCCTAGAGAACTAATATTTTCAAATATATCATTGATTAAACATTTTCTGTAAATAAAATTAGATTGACAGAAAGCTATTGGTGATCGAGCTGCATAATAAAAAAAGAGACGGATGTTTTTTTGTACAGGTGTCTGCAGCTTAAAAATTTAAATATATAAAAAAAAAAAAAAAAAAAAAAAAAAAAAGCTAATATGCATATATGTCTACTGTAATAAAAATTATTGCAATGTAACACAATATTTCATTAAGACACAAGCAAGTTCACCCTAAAACTCTTGGGGTCTTAAGAAGTGTGCAACAAATTAGAAACTGATATCATAAAAGAACGAGGTTTTTGTGAGCTGCTTTACCAACAAAGGCCTCTAGGTGAAATTTAAGCACAAATTTGAAGATTCCTAGACAGGGTCTCTGCAGATAACATGATGTCAAATGTAAGACTTTTTACGACCTTTTTAAGACCATTAGGTATTAAATTTAAGACCTATTTCGCAATATCAAAAACACACGAGAAAAAACATAAAAGCACAAAATTAGGGGTAAAATTTTTTTATTTAAATTGAACAGTACTAAAGACAAATTAGATGCACCAATGAGCTACAGAAAAAAAAAAAACATAACACTAATTTATACTTTCGCCTGGCGCCGCATCGCACACCTTACAAAACGGATGAGGCTTTTATACTTGACACGTTCACCATTGAGATATTTTTTTAAATGACAGGGGGCAGTCAAAAAAAACCGACAGTAAAATCAGACGAATAAAAAGAGAATCATTATCATTGAAGATGTTTTTAAGTGCTGCCTTTCCTCACAGTTAATTCCCCTCATCTCTCCGAATAGCCCAAATCCAACGCATCTTAATAGTTTAATCACTGGAAAATCTATTAAACGACATATAAGGATGTTTCTTTTTCGAATTAGTACAAAAGGTACACTACAAGATTGATTACTCGTCTCCGCCATTGCACTTTGCTTCTACCGGAACAAAGTTTTCCCTACTTCCGGTCCCGATCGCTATTTTGTGAAATAGGCCTATTGGACTAGTGAAATAAAGAACTACAACACCCCAAAAACCTAGCAACAACAACAAAAAAGAATTTCAATGAGCATTAGATGAGTGTTACATGAACATCGCAAAAATAAGACCTGTGCAAAATATTTAAGACCTAGAACAGCGAATTTAAGGCTTTTTAAAGCCTTAAATTTCGATTTTTAAATTTTAGACTTTAAGACTTTAAGACCCCACGGGGACCCTGCTAGTAGTCATTAAGTTACTCTAAATTACACTATATTTGACTATTTTTGACAAACACTAGAATATTCATTTTTTGCATAATAATATAAAACAGAAGTTTGTAGCTACGGAAGTGTTGAACTTTAAATAGGAAAATTATTAATACTCGTTTTTGAAAGTTGAGTGAGATGCTAATGGTCTAATACAGGGATGGGCAACTTTGGTCATGCAGGGGCACTGTCCAGCAGAGTTTTGCCCCAACACTAATCAAACACATCTAAACAAGCTAATCAGTGTCCTTAAGATTACTTGTTACAATAAATATATATAAACTAGATATCGCATACCTGAGCATACGTCAATAGAGCCGCCACATTTGTACAGTGGTCCCAGGACAAATGTCATTCAATGCCATTTCAAAGATGCTGAACTTTGGCGCTGTGTACAGGTGTAGTAACGAGCAATCAAAGAAAACAAAGCACAGAGGCATAACATTTTATAGGTAAGATTTCATTTTTTTATGTTTGTGTATGTTTCGAACGTTTGTGCTAAACAAGTAACGTTACTGATAGTAATACAGTCACTTACTGCATTCACCATAAGGCAGAGTAGCACCAAACTCGTACTAAATAGTAGGCTTATGCTAGTTTTTTTTTTTTTTCATAAAAGCAGCAAACAATGTAAATGAAATATGGCAACAAGAAGCTGCGGTGCTAGAAATTTGTATTATTGTTGGCTAAGTAAACAAGTCGTTAAGGGAAATTAATTCACAAACAAAATGCTCCCTCCGTTAGAATTAGAAGTGAAAGTAGAAGAGGGGGTGTGTTTCAGGACACGGATTAGATCAAATTTAGGAGGGAGGGAGGATAATACATTTCCATACACACAATTTCATGCTCTTTGTCGGCAATACCGGTGTGGTCACTTATCTATCGATGTGGAAAAGTGATAATGTAAAATTATAATTTTCGTAATTTAAAAAAAATATTTGCATACTGATCACAGATACATGTATACATGTGTATATATCTCAAGCTCTGCATGGCCAGTCCTCCACTGCATCTTGGTCCCACATTCATTTTAAAGGAGCGCTACCCTGTACAAAAATGGCGGCTTTATTGACGCATTACTTCCAATAGACAAAAACAGGGTGGGCAACATCTAACGTAAATATCTTTGACTAGCTACAAGCAGGTGTGTTTGATTAGGGTTGAAGCTAAAATACACAGGAGAGTGGCCCTCCAGGACTGAAGTTGCCCATCCCTGGTCTAATCCAGTTCAATGATTCATGTTAAGCTGAGATAAAAGTGCTCATGCCAGACCCAGAGATTAGCAAATCGACTATGTAATCTAGAGTAGAGAATTATCTAGAGAAATTATCTTCACAAATAAAAATATTTTAGCTCTCTCACTCTCCATAGACTACAATGGTCAACCATGTGATGTCAGTGGTTCAATTATAATCCTACAAAGCATCAAGAACATTTTTGTGCACCAAAATGGTCAGGGTGCACGTTTATTACAGGCAATATAATGTATTGCCATTTGAGTCAACAGCATGACAATCAAGTGTTGTAATGCCTGTAGTGTATGCGCACCCTAGTCTAATGAGGAAGACATTTGCACTTGAAGCTTTGTGAGATTAGATTACAGTTGAAAAACTGAAGCCCCATGGAATATTTTAAAGGGCACCTATGGTGAAAAATCTCCTTTTCAAGCTGTTTGGACAGACATGTGTGTAAGTATAGTGTATAGACCAGGGGTCACCAACCCTGTTCCTGGAGAGCTACCTTCCTGCAGAATTCAGTCCCAACCCTGATCAAACACACCTGAACCAATTAATAGTACCTAAAGCAGCACTTGATAATAACAAACAGGTGTGTTTGGTCAGGGTTGCAACTGAAATGTGCAGGAAGGTAACTCTCCAGGAACAGGGTTGTTGACCCCTGGTATAGACCATCATATTGGGGTAATATAAACACACCCAGTCCTTTTTTTTTTTTTTAACTTAACATAAAAACTGTGGACCAATTTAAGCGGTTTTTAGATCGACCGCAACTTGACATAGGAGTGCGGTCCCCCCGCCCACCAATATTGATTGACAGGCGCATCACCATATCCTCAGTTTGTCGTTTCACGTCCACCATTTTCGATGGTGGACGTGATAACGATGTCACTAAAGGAACACCCTTGCTCTATTTTAGATGCAAGGCTCAGTGGGCTCAACACAAGATCAACATTCATTACATGATCACTCTCATCGGAATCATTGTTTGTTATTTTGTTTGTTTGTAGGTAGGTTTGCAAACATGTGTACTTTTCATTGCGTCTACCTTAAACTTCAGCCGTTTGTATTTCTCACGGTCACAGAAGCTGCCTGTGATCTTAACTAGGTGCAGCTGGAAAGTGCGAGCTCAATGCCTCACATGAGTGTCTCTCCATAGGAAATAAAATAACGAACTTGCCTGCAGGTCGCACACCAGAAGCGCCGCTCGGCGATGCGCAGCGTAGCGCCATGCATTTTAGAATTCTAAACATGGGTTTCTATCAGGGTACAAACACTGCCTGTCAGTCTGTTGCCAAACACAGAGTGGGGGGAGCTCTTTTCTCCGCCCCCTTGTTACATGGGCGGGAACTTGAAACTAATTTTCATGTGAAGCAACATACCCCTAAAACAGCGAGCTGTGTACACGCCCCCAAAATAACACTTTTTAACACATTATAAAGACATCTGAACTGTAGTTTCAACTGAACCTAAACTAGCACATTTAAAAAAACTATAATATTAAATCTTAAAAAAGGGGTAAACTATGTGTCTTTTAACAATTTTGATTCCTTTTCTCTAAAGTGAACATCTCGGGATTGTTGCAGTCCACGGAAGATAAGAGAGCTCTTCGATAACATCAAGGTCAGTGGTCTCAAACTCAATTCTTAGAGAGCCGCAGTTCTGCATAGTTTAGCTTCAACCATCTTTAACTCGCACCTGCTTGATAGTCCATAATAGTCTTGCACACCTTGACTAGTTGGATCAGCTTTGTTTGATTAGGGTTTGAAGCACAACTGTGTGGAATTGCAGCCCTCCAGGAATCACATTTGAAACCTATGATCTAAATCGAGTGCCCAAACCCTGCTTCTGGAGATCTACTTACCTGCAGAAATCAGCAACAACCTTGATCAAACGTCTGTTTTAATTATCAAATTCGTCTTCAAATCCCACTTAGTTGGTTTAGTTGTGTTTGATAAGTGTTGAAGTTCAACTACGCAGGAAGATAGATTTCCAGAAACAGGGTCAAAAATATCTTTAATTTATGAACAGTTCTCAAGGCACAACCGGAGTAATTTTTTTTTTCGGGTAAAATAACCTTTTAATAAATAATAAATAAACTAACACTGCCGCACTCACATTCACTATTCTTTTACACAAATTGATGCTGGAATTAAATTTCTATCCTTTGGCATTTGTTAACATAAGTGCAGCCACAACTCTATTTAACCAGGAAAAGTCTGCCTTTGAGTCATTTAAAAGTAGGTAAAAGTTGAAAATAGAGACCTTGGAGGTTAGGGATTCCTTTAGGATGTTTGTGAGATTGCAAACTCTGTGGTTTAGGAGCATGACATCATTACACGCCTGAGCCATCTGCTCTCCCTGTTCCAGCAACATCCTCCGAGCTTTGTCCCGTGTGGTGTCCAGCTCTTCCTGTCGAGACTCTTTCTCAAGCCTTAGAAGAGAGATGGCATCAAAAAAAAAAAGCTTGCATTAATTCTAAGATAACTGCTTTAAAATTTAACAGTGGTTAGACAGGAATATGCCGTTACCGCAGCTGCTCCAGTGCAAGTTTGAGGTCTTCACACTCCAGGTTTCTCTCTCTAAGGCCCTGTAAATGGCATCGCAGCAGTCGCTCACTTTCTTCCATCTGTTCACGTGCCAGTTCATTTTCTGCCTGCAAGAACTGTCAGAACACAAATTTCTTATACTGTAGGCAGAATTGCATTGTTAAAAGTATTATGGATATACACTAATAAATGCAATGTATAAATAACTCCTCACTTCACTCATTTCTTTGGCACTGGAGAGTTCAGTCTGAAGTTGATCCATCTGACCGAGCTGACGGCGGTGAATCTCAGCTTCAGTTTGGAGCTCTTTAATCAAGATGTCTCTCTGTAACAGTGCTTCCTCAAATTCCTCTAGCTGTTTCCTAGAAGTTTCCAGCGCTTCTTCAAGACTGCCGAAAGCATTTATTTTATTAACATTTTTTTTTGTTCCTTTTTTTTTTTTTTTTTTTAAATAAATCAATTATATTTGTGCTAGCATTTAAATATCAAGATATACCAGTTGGCTCTCTCTGTAGCTTGCTGTGCATCACACACTGACTGCTGCAACCTAGAGAAGAAAATTACAAGTTAGAAGTTCACTATATATTTTGTTGACCATATCACTGTCAGCTAATATTACACACTGAAACTATCTGATCCAAGTTTTCTTCATTCTTCATTGTATAATTACAGCTGAACAGCTCAGAATGTCACATGGAATGTTTTGAGTTCCTACTAAGCCAAATTTCTTATTTCCTGACTAAATAGCTCAATTTCCGTGACATTTAATAAACAAAAAACAGGCCTTTGTTCATTGCATGACATTAAAATGGTTTTAGCTTGAATGATATTTAACAGGATTTTGATAGCCACTATGAGAATGACAATAAAAAAAGAGATGCCAAGTGTCTTTGCATGACTACAAATTGGTCCCTCTGCTGTATTTGATAGCTTGATAGTACTTTTACAAACATTACATTTTTGTTGTCTACTTAACACCCAGTCTGGTCATTTTAAAGCCAAAGCTCTTAAAATGTATATTATCCAGACACGTTAGCCTTAATTAACAGGTACAGTTTGGTGACTCCATTTGACTAAAGTGACTGCCAGCTGATGAATGTGAATTAAATAAAATGGAGCTAAAAAAAAAAAAACTCAATATGACAAAAGATTTGAGACATAAAATGTACATAAAATTGAAACTAAAATGTAATTTCAACATAATAAAAAATGCTGATAATGCATGACTTTGTAAAAATTATATAAAAATTCCCCGACTTCTAGAATAATGGACCTTTTAAAATTGAATGATATTCCAAAAATTCCAAGACTTTTGGTTCCTTTTCTGGACTTCTGAATATCATGTGACCATTTCTTTCTATAGTCAGAGAACTCTAGGATTTCATCTAAAATTTCTTCATTTATGATAAAATGAAGAGTGAATGTGTAAGGGGGTGACTTGAGAATACATTATTTGAGTGAAATATTCCTTTAAGTCAACTTGATCTGCAATAAATAACAAAAGTTAATGGTTACAAGTCTAAACTGGAGCTCCATCAATTGTTGTATAGTTGTATTTATAGTGACTATTTTAAATTTTGAGATTCCTTTTGCAGCATCGACAACGTAATTTAGTAGATTCCTTTAAATAGACTTAAGCAATCATTTATTTGCTCAAATGTAAAATAAGATGAAAGGTCTTGTGTTTCAAATCCACAGGTTGCAGATGAAAGTGATCTAGGTTGCAAACTAATACAGCATTACTGTTTTAAAGCTTGCTTAATGCTTTAGAAAAAATAGAATTGAAATTAAAAATAGTTTTGGAATCGCTAGAATCGGATTCGATTAGATTGTGAAGTTCCTAAAGATTTCCACCAGAAGCGGCTTGACTGGCTTATTTAAAATTAAAAGTCCTTAAGCATATATAGATCATTATACATTTAAATGCCATATTCCCAAAGGTGGATTTTTGCTGACATACTTGCTGGTCTCAGAGGCGAGGGTCTGTTCCAGGAAGGCGTAAGAGGCCAGTGTGGACGTGACTGTGGCTGAGAGCTCAGTGCTTCTCCTCTGCAGCAGAAAGCGCTCATCTTCTGCCTGATTCAGCTGCTCTCTTAGGACTAACATCTCTGAATAAACACAAAGCAGAGTCAAGCAGATGCTCACCTTTTACTACACAGGGTCAAAAGTAAGTCAGTGTCACACCTGAAGTCATGATGGTCTGCTGCATGTTCAAGTCTGAAATCTGCTGACTGGCATCTTGCAAGCTTGACCTCATGTGCTCTAGTTCATTTTCCATCTGGGAGTTTATGGAAAGAGCAATTAAAAAGAGAGACTGCATTTAAATTAAATAAAAGTTGTTAGGACTGCGTTGTTGTGTTTCTGTGTGTTGATTTTGATTTCTAGATTGGGGGCGTGCCTTCAGCGCACCTGATGCTGGTCGGCGCCCTTATTTAAACCCCGGCAGAATGTTTGTCGGGGCCGCTGTCCATTCACTTGGCAGTTGGCCAGAGCCACGCTCCTATTTGGGCATTATGCTTTGTTTCGCATCCATACACTATCACTGACAACATTTACTGCATCCATACACTTGCATTTCACACTGATTGAACATACTGATTCTGATATTTTGATTATATAATTTAAAGTGAGTTAAATAAATCTTATTTTTGATTATACTTCTCCTTGTCGTCTCCCTTATTATGTTACATCCCTGAGCCAGGTGTAACAAAGTTTTTAGAAGAAGATTAAAAAAGTATGCTATGAATATTTTTGATATTATAATTAGCAAAAGCATTTTACTGAGAGTTTTAGTTAAACAAATAAAACAAGTCAATTTAGCTGTAATTGTAAAAAAGCGTCTGTCTGGACGGCTAAAACAAATATATGCAAACCCAGTTTAAACCACTTAATGTTTTGAAATTCAAGTTTTTTTTTTTAACATGAAACGTATCTTTATAATTTAGTGCTATTTTAGTATTAATGTTTTATTCAAAAAGGTAGTTTCAGATTTATGTTTTGTAGTTTCTGACAAAGAAACTTGAATATTGAAATTGAAAACTGATTATTAGGTTCACTATGACAACATGTTGAATTTATCTTTCCACAATGCTTTTTTTTTTTTTTTTTAATGTCCTTTGGCCCTGAAGTGAAGCCAGCATCAAATTAACTAGGTATTGATCAGGCTGTCTAAACAAACAGGTCCAATTTTATCATTTAAATGATGCAAGAATGACAGTGGACAGTCAATCTTTAAGAAAATAAAGTGGATTGAATTCATAATTCACAGTTAACATAAGCATGCTGTCAGAGACATAGTTTTAAATGACTAAGAAAGGCTAAATGTTAAGTTGCGATTGATGAAGCCCAATTCAAACCAAGTCATTGGCTTCCACTCACTCTCAAATCAAGGAGCATACTATTGGTCGATGCAGAGAATCCACCAGATCAATCTGAATCTACTATCATATGGCTTCAGACGGTCTCTGTGTTCCTTTTTATAGTTTGACATGCATTGTTCTAAGTATGAATAAATAAAATAACAGAATGCAGTCGACTTCAGTGGTAAACTTCTTACCATGTTTCTCTCTTCCACGGCTCGGTCTCTTATTTCCAAATGCTGCTTGCTCTGCTCCATGGCAGTTGTGGTTCTCTGATGGAGATGGCGAAGTACTGGGTTTATCCTCTGAACCAGTTCCTGAGCCTTTCTCAGCTTTGCACAGTTGAAAAAGGTCAAATAGGTTAAATCACTGACTCTTCGCACACTACTTTCACTGATCTTTCACTGATCACTGATAGGCTTAATATGAAGTGTTACCTCCTTAAACAATTTTTTGTTATCCTCTTGCATCCTTCTCGAATGGACACTTGCTGCACTGAAGGATTCTGTGTATGACTTGCTCAGTACAACCTTGAAAATTCCACAAAATTCCCACTCAGAATCAGGATCGGACAATACGACAAAAAGCTCATTTCACAATACAAGTCACCTCATATGGTGATCCAAATATAATTCCATTTCTGTAAATCCAATTAATTTAATTTTATATATAATTTTATATATATTGACCACATGTAAAGGACAATTTTTTACATTTTAAAGAGTTTACTCAGAAGTTTACCCATTCATATGTGAAAAACTTCTCTGATTTTATTTAGAACTTGAGGATAAATATTTGATTAAAAATAAAGAAACATAAATATATTAATAAAATATAAAACGCTTTTTAAAAACTAATGATTATAGGACCAAAAAAAAAAAAAAAAAAAAAAAGAGTATCCAAAATAAGAGTAAAATTGTACTTTCAAGACAGCAACTCTCACAATGTGCTTATTATTATTCCTGTCTGCAACCCTGTAATATTATGCTTGTACAAATTATGGATCAAAATTACAATATACAATAGACCATTAAATAAAATGATAGACTTTGTTTTTTGTTCATACAATATATATTGTCATATTGCACAGCCCTACTTTCAGACTGTCTTTAGTCACTGTTATGCTAATGAAAATATTTTAATTGCATAAACATTGAGGTATATAAATATGAGCAGACCAGTGATGGGTAGGCCAGTTTGAGTGCTGACATTAGTTCCTGGTGAGACCCAATTGTGTCCTCTAGCTCAGCCACCTGGGAAATGTGATGGTCCCGCAACTGCTGGGTTACGCTGAAGGCCTACACACAAAGAACAAGATAAGCAATATCTCAGACAAACAGCTTTAAAATACATAAATATCTGGGTTTCTGAGTTATAGCAAACTAATCAAATCTTCTCACAGCTTCCTTCTCCTCTAGTGCCGCATCCATACGCTGCTTCATGTCTTTCATCTTCTCCTCCATTCTTTGAAGTGTTCCCTTATACCTCCCATAAAGAGACTTCATCTGACTGGCCTACACAACACAGACATATTATAAGATGTGACTGGTAAAGATCTTCTGTCACATTGAGAATAAGACCTAATTTGTACAATTAAAAATAGTCACTTACCTGTCTAGATAAAGTTTCTTGATCTGCAGTAACAGAAGCTCCAATCTGTTTCATCTTGAGGATGGCATCCTCTGTGCTTGACTTAAATGAGTTCTACAGATAAATTATAATACATATCAGAATTTTCAAAATGTGCAAAAGTGTAACATTGAAAAATTGAGTAATAGAGAGCAACTCACCAGTCCAACCCTCATTGCTTGAATGCTGTTATATAGACTGTGAAGAATCTCCTGATCGTACTCAAGACACTGAATTCTCTCCAGGGCAGTCCCATACAAATCTCTGTATGTGCCATTCTGACAAAAAAGCAGCAAAAAAGTGCATTAATATAAATTCCAGCTCAGCATTTGTCTATTTAAACATAAGAATATTCTCATAGGCAGAATATATATATATATATATATATATATATATATATATATATATATATATATATATACACACACACACACACACACACATATACATACACATATACATATATATATATATATATATATATATATATATATATATATATACACACACACACACACACATACATACATACATACATACATACATACATATAAACATGGTAAATATATAAAAAACTGAGAAATAATTGTAAAAGTAAAACAATTTAGTTGGTATTTTAAAAATGAAAACATTTCATTTTGTCAATTAACTTTTTGACTAGAAATTAAAACCCAAAACAATAACTTTATTGAACAGCATTATTTTATTATTATGATTACTATTAAATTAAAATTTGTAAAACCTACACATGGAACTTGTGCAAAAGTTCTAACCATATGTATTTATATATGAATGAATGTGACCCCATCTTCAGGCAATGAGTTCTCACCTGTCTGAGCTCAGTGTGGTCTGTCTGGATGAGCTTTTCTCTGAGATCAGATGGCGAAGCATCTTTGCTTGGATTATGAGCCCGAGAAGAAGTGAGCTGTTGGGTAAGAACCTCCACCATAATGAGCGTAGAGGTCAACCTCTGCTCCAACTCAGTTCTAGACAGATGCTCTAGATTTCCAGGAGACAAACTTCAAAAAGAGAGACAATGTAGATGACATCAACAAAAAGGCAATGATTCATACTTATCTACTGAGCTAACTTACTTCCATAGAAGGGAGTCTGTTGAAGTGCTAGCATCAGAAACATTAGCCTGTTTGCAAATCTCCGTTGTTGAAGTATTAACACTGCGCTCCATTCGCTGAACTGGTGTGCTCCACACACAAACACTGCGCGTTGATACTGGAGAAGTGCCCACTGAAACATTGTGGTGATTCACTGGTGCTGGAGCAGGAACAACCATCTTTCCTGAAGCAACTATCAACAGTTCAGCCATTTGTCTTAGTTGTTCCTGTAAAGGCCCATTGCCGAAAACTGGAGGGGCATTTAACTCATTCTGATGGTCTGCAGAAGGTTTCACATCCTTTTTCTTGGGTGGATCTGAAGGAACAGGTGTGTAGCTAAAAGCATTAACCAGGGATGTAGAGTTCAACAGAGGAGGTGGCATGGGACTCTCCGGGAGCTCGGGCCACAGATGGCTCATTGGGTTCTCGGCTGACGGATCATGCAAAACACTCCTACTTAGGGTGGGTGTCTTAGGAGTACAAGATCTTGTTAGAGCAATAGCACTAGGAAGATCTTGATGATCTGAGATGGCTTGACTTGATGCATCACATAATCGCATAACTTCAATCTCTGGGTGTATCTCTTCATCCTTTAAACTCAGTGTCTTATCTTTGGGAATGTTGGTTTCTCTGTCAACATTTTCCAAAACAGCAACTTGAGGACAAAGGGTTTCCTCAGAGTGTGAAACTGGCTCCTTTATTTCTGTCATAAACTGTGGATCAAGCTCTTCCAGATGCTTTGCAGTCATGACAGAAGATTCATCATCCTTGGGCTTCTTGGGTTTGTCATCACTGTTGTTTAACTTTGAAACATCTGAACTTTCAGTTTTATTTTCACAATTCGATGCAGACAAGTGTTGGCTTGACTGCTCATGTGTTTTTGATTTCTTCATTTCAAGGCATCTCACAGACACAAACTTTTCCTCTGTAATGTGTCCAAAAGGTGATGTTGCATCAACTGTATTTCCAGACCTTTCCGAAAGACATTGTGACTTGGAAAAGAGCTCGTTTTCAGTGCTTGACACATTTAGGACCTGAGACATTTCCTTAGCATGGCAGTACATATGATCAATATGCTTGCTTCCAGGAGTCAAACTAGCAAAGCTTTGACCATAATTTTCAGTGACATCATTTACACAATTCAGACTTTGTTCCTCAGCAAGATTATCTTGAAGTAAAGACATTTCTGACACCTTGGATAGATCAGCAATTTCTATTTCAACCCCAGAACAGCTCAAGCTTTTTAATGTGATCTCTTCTTGCTCATTAGATACACCACAACATCCTTCTGAGAGATCAGGGTGCTCACATTGAGTACCAACATTGTGCTCAACAGTTGATTGAGATGCATCATTGATTGTACTGATGTTGCAGCCATCTTCAATAAAAGACTCGTGACTCTTCCAGTTACAGTAGGAGTGGCCTAAAGGTTGAGGGTTTAAAGATACAACCTCTGTGTCCACTTTAGAAACAGGAGTAGCTTTGTATTGAGAGTTATTTCCAGATGCAAGATCCTTTATGATAATGGATTCATTAGAGATAGCCGAGCTATCTGAAACAAGAACCTCTCCACCGAAGCACATAAATGATTTAAATGTAACATTTTCCACCTCTACATCCTGATGCAGTATGGATGAGGCACCGTAACCTGTAGATCTGCTCCTACAAGAGTATGGATGATCAACATGCTCTTCGCTGGTCTCATTATCCTTGGTGTCCTCAATTATATTAGTCTCATTAGGGTCTCTTTGAAGTGGAACATTATCCTCCAATCCAAGATGGCCGATTAAAACAGATATATCTGACAGTACAGGTTCATCCTCAACTACTACTTCTCCTTCAAGGCAAGCAAAAGATTTTAGTATGAGGTCTTGATGTTCATCAGTGGCATCCACAGTTTGACCACTATTATTGACATCTGTTGTGATAGTTAGGCTTGATGGATTTTCACCAAGAGCAACTTCATGCTGTTAGGAGGCAAAACATCATAGAAGTCAAAAAAAGAAAAAATAATATACAGCGATGGGTACAAAAATGCATTTTTTTATGCACATTTATAAAATGACAACAATTGATTAAATAGTTTTATCTTGAAGTATTGTGATATTAAATACATTTATTGTAGGACTTTCAGATTTTTGTGTGTACATATATATATATATATATATAGACCAATTACCAACCTACGTCAGGCATGATGTCACACGGGTCCCTGGTTGCAAAAAGAAGACAGGCTACAATGGGAAAGATGTCGTGTTGTGCGGTAGGATGCCGAGTTTGAGTCCAAAAACAGAAATCTTAACTTTTACCATACACTACACACTGCTTTAATACGGACTGCAGACGTCTTTGGCTAAATAGGAGCTGAATGAAGTGTGGAGCTAATTAGAAATGCTGGACTCTGCAGTTCTCATGTCATATCAGGTAAGTTCACGCTTTGCTGAATCATACATATTACTCGTTTTTGATTGCAGAAATGATTTCAGCAAAAACGGTTACATATGGTTAAATAAACTGCGGACACTGAATGCTAAGAATGAAATGTGAAAGTTACTTTTATTAAGGTAAATTTGGTTTTATATTCACACACATATATTCAGTGACAACTTGTGACAAACTCCCTATATTGTTTACCACGGCACTTTGAATATTCGGTCTGAAATAACCTGCAAGTGTGACTTGAAAACAACATTAACACTGCTTATTTGACTGTGAACAATGTTGTATATTGATAGTCATTAGCTGCTGCTAATATGATTTCGCTATTTAGAGTTTGCAAATAATATTTTTATGAAATTATATTATTAAGGAGAAAGTCTGAATGTGCAAATATAAAACCAACTTTACCTCTATGTGTAGGTTCACATACCCTGCCGTACAGGTGAAGTTCACTGTCAGAATGCAGTTGTTTTGCGTGTTGGTGATTAATTACCCAGGCCTTGTATAACGTTAGCTCCGTCTTGTTTCCTTGTCTTTGGCTAGGCAGAATCTCAGAGTCTAGCTCTTGAATCTGGTCATCATGGAGCATTATTTCTTGCACATGACCACAAAGAACAACGTTGTTGGCATCCAAAGACTTGTAGACCTTTAACTTCTCTCTTGTAAAATCACTCGGAGCCTCAATGAGATAGTATATTTCGGGCTGGATGCTCGGTCACTTCGTCTTGTCCAATATTCATTGGGAGGGTGCTATCGCAAATGGACCTGTCAGATGATTGCCACTCACTTTAACGTTAATTTTGCCGAATCACTGTGCTTGTCACTGGGTGACGAGCTGTTATAATATGCTGTAAGCATTATGTAAATAATTTATATAATATGCAAGTAATAATTTTTATTTCTAAGACAACAACAAACTCTGCACCGCATCTGATGTCATTCCCTCGCTGTAAATGTTAGGGCTCCCGGTTGCTTTCTGCCACCTCCCTGCGCGCATCCTAAATGTTTACAAACATGGTAATTGGTCTATATATATATATATAGTTGGTTTCATTTTACATAGACCTTACTCAGCTCAACTTAGACCTTATTCAGCTCAATTGATGATGAGACGGTAAAAGAACAAATTCAATAGGACACGACTTGAATCTGAACAAGAATTAGACGGCCTTGGGAGGTTTTTAAAATAAGAATAGGGACTTTTTTGTTTTTTTTTTACACACACACACACACACACACAAAAAACAATATGATCTCAACAAGGATATTTAAATGTTTAAGTTAAATTGGGAAGTAATTTGATCACTCATAGCTGTAACTGTAATACTAATCATAACATAACTGTAAATTGTAAATCCTAAATAAATCTGTAAATTTACATACTTTTTTTCAAATGGTTTCTCTTTTTTCTAATTTATTACTTTTAATTATTAAAGAATTAGTTTCAATTTTTATTTAAAAATATTAAATGAGCGATGTGAAAGCAGTTAAGAAATCTCTCCAAACCTTCATGTTTGAGTCCTTCACATGCGTCGATGCATGTTTAACCATAAGAGTTGGAGTGTCCTGCATATTTAACAGTTCATTCTGTACATCTCTGAGCGGGACTCTGTCTGGTTTGGTCTAAAACACAGAACACACAGGTTTATCATTAGAGCTCATGGTGATGGTTGGAAAAAAACATTCATGTTTATGGTTATGGTATGGACTACTCACATTTGACAAGCCATTGACAGATGACATGTTTTGAGAGTAATATCTGCAATAACACAAAAGAGTGATGGAAGTGATTATTTTATATATAGTGGATTTTCAGGGGGTTGATTAAAGTTTGATAAATATGTAAATCAACCCATACCATTAACAAAAATCATAAAATACTATTTTTTTTTATAAAAAGCTAGATTCTTCTGCACAAAGGAAGAAAAATGTAGCCTACATTTACAACTACATTAATGTGAAGTTAAATAATTGCATATAACACCCATTTTCCCCACAAACTATCAAGAGATGGTTCACATTTTTACAGCATTACATGACCGTCACTGTTTGCATCCCTTCAAGAAATGTCAACTTTGGCGCCTATTTACACCAATTTTAGACATCACATGTGCTTATCAAATAAGTTACTTATCAAAATAAGCATGCAACTTTAGGTAATTTGTCATGGTCTGAAACACGGGTTTTACGTCCAGATTTACAGTTATCAGACAAGCGGCACTAACTAACGTTATCGTAAAATATTTTAGTAACACGATTATATAAAAATTAGTTCCTCCTTTACTTCTTACCTTATAAGCGATTTATGAACGTTACTGTTTATTTTAATCCTGACTTGACTGATATTGTAAAAACAAGCGTTATCGTCTAAACCGCCACCTTCACGTTCAAAATAAAACGCACAATCAGCTCATTGGTCAAAACCTCTGCGTAACATACGGAAGCCCATTTCTTCTTTGGTTTATTGTTGATTCTCATTCATGTGCATATTGCCACCTGTCGGCCTATTTATGAAAAAAAATCTACCGACAAACATATGCATACCAAAAACCATCTGCACCGATCAACATTTAGAAAAATAGAACATTTAGAAAAGATACAGTAAGGTTTCATTTAGAAAATACATTTAGAAAAAGATACAGTAAAATAAACTAGACGGCTTGCTTTGAGTAAATATATTTATTTTAGCTATAGCTTGTTGATCGCAAAGTAAACAGAAGATGGCGGTATATGACAACAGTAGCTGTTTAATGTTGTGAAAGTGTTTAGTCGTCCAGCACATTTTTTCCAACAGCAAAACACGTGTTCTCACTGAAGTGAAAGCAGAGCAGCTGATGGAATAAACAATTCAGTTTGTTCTTGGATATATTACTAAAGCGATAGACTATAATTTTGTACAAAGGAATCCCTAAAAATGTCGTCACCAGTGTGTAGTTGTGCTGAACATGTCACAAAACTGACACAGCAAGCGTCAATAATGAGAAGAGAGATTAAAAATCTCAGGTAGGTTCTAAAATCTTTCACGTAATTGATGGGGTTATGAGTAGTTTAATTGTTTGTTGGACAAACAGACAGCAGATGGATGGATCCATACGAGCACATAGGAAGCAGATGTCAACTCTTCAGTCCATATTGACAGGCTACCGGAAACACGATGACAGATCTCAACCAAAGAACAAAAGCCCATCTCAGAACCCCAGTGGAATGAATCAGTTATTAGAGCAAGGTAGCGTTAAAAGAAATGCCTTCACTTTTGATGCATGCAGCAGTGACTCCAAATGAATTCTATGTAGGCTAAATGTACACTGAACCTGTTGCGAGTTGCAGAACTTTTTACTCTTTATGCTCCAATTATACTCTAAAATAATATTTGAATGGCTGTCAATGGCAAAGGACTCTCTTTTCACATTCAGATATTGTTATCATGTTAATTGTTCAAAAACGAAAATTTACTCCCCTTCAAGTGGTTCCAAACAGGGCTGCATATACTGGTAAAAAATCGAATATTCCTATATTTTATTTTCTTGCGATAAACATTGCAATGTAAATACCGTGTCACAATATAGTTTGAATAGCACTATTTGTTGGTTTTCTGGAGAGTAGCATTTTTCATGTACAGAAATTGAATAATCACAATGCAAAAAATGCATTTCTTGTATTGTCTTATTTATCTGTCCAAATATCTAAACAAAATGCTTTGATCAAGTAAAAATATTGTTTTGTTTTCAACTTCAGATGAAATAAGGAAGAGTTTTTCCCTTAAAGCATGCTAAGTTAAATACTTTTGTTTTCACTTTGAAATGTCAAGATTTAGACTAGAAACAAGACAAAAATTCTACAAAAGAAAAACTTTTTTTTGCATGATTTATATAAATTCTAAATAAATACGATGATTAATACAATTCTGTAGCTCCTGGTCAACTGTAATACAGACTTAACATTGCATATCTTTGCAATGTGTCTATTGCAGATGCACACATTGCAAGATCAATGCTGAAACAATATACTGTGCAGCCCTGTCCAAAGCTTAATGAGTTTCTTTGGTTGAACACAAAACGAAATATTTAGAAGAAAGCTGTATCCCTGTAACCATTGACGTCCATTGTAGGGAAACAATATAAATGTATTATGTAAGTTTTTAACATTTTTTAAATACCATCTTTTGTGTTCAACAGAAAAAAAGAAGTTCAAAGGTTGGAAACAACCTCAAACTAGGGCCACTTTAGTCTTGTCTAAAATGAAATTTTCTTGACTATTTCAGGGCGAATTCAGACGGTACCGATCGGATATATTAGTTCATGTTTTGCAGTGAAAAATGGAACTCCACGACAGCCTACTGTATGCAGTTCTTCACGGGCCAGATTGAAGATTGAGCCATCAGTCTTCAATAATCCTGAACATTCCTTAGTTGGACTGGAACAATACTCGCATATCTGGTGTGTAGCACATATGATTTCAGGAGTGTACTGCTTTCACAGTATAGAATGGCCATCTATTTTAAACATTTGTTTGAAAAGAAAAAGTCATTTCCTTTCTGTCTGTTTTGTTGACCTGCACCATTTACAAAATCCAGAAATGCATACTAATGTTATAATTTGATATCTGTAACCAGTTTTAAAATCATTTGTTTTAGGGAAAAACAATCTGAAAGTTATTCGTTACTCTCCCTCATGTCGTTCGAATCCCATGAGAACTCAAATTAAGATATTTTATATGAAAATTTATGAAAATTTTGTGATTACAGTTAAACCACTGAAGTGACGTGGAACGTTTTGAATTTTTGGTTGCTTTCCAGGACTTTGACTGTTTAGGGACTATTGCTTTGTAAGCAGGATTACAGAGCTCTTGAATTTCATCTAAAATATCTTGACTTATGTTCTGAAGATGAACAGGTTTCAGGGGTTTGGAACGACATGAGGCTGAGTAATTTACAGAATCCCTTTAAGGTGTGCTCACTAAAGATTGGAACACCTAAACTTAAATTTCTTTGCAAAATCATTCACTGATTTGAAATGCTTAACATCACATCGGACATGCTAGCTGGTAGGACTGGTGTAAATGTAGAAGAAGCATATGTAAAACAAAATATTACTTATAGTATTTATTAGTGGAATTAATATATAAAATGCAATTAGTAAATTATCCATCTCTGTGATATTTAAAAATTAAAATAACCTTTTTTAGTTAGTTAAATATTGCATATAATCTAACATATTCTTATTTAGGTTTCATTTATGTAGCTTGGTTAATCAGATCGATAAGGTATACTTACTGAAGGTTTTATTATACAAATGTGTCAGTAAAACTGTCCACAATTAGCAGTATGGTGCAGTTGAATGGACTGTGGGCTTTCTCTGTGTGCTCTGGTGGATTGGATATGCTAAATAGAGCTTAGATGTGTGTGAAAAAGTGTGTGTCCCAGCACACAAAAAAAACTTTGCTTTATTGACTGCAACTTCCTCTGTGGTGACTTGACTAGTGGGAGAAGGCAAATACCAATGATAATAATGGTGTGTAGTTAGACAAAAACAAAAGAAAACCATTACAAGTGCATTTGAACATTACTCAGTAATGTTTCTTGATGGGTCTGACGAGTGACCAGGTCTAATAAATGACAATTGAAACACATTTATGTGAAGTGAAACCTTTTGTTTGTTTTTTTTCTTTGTCATTCCAGGATAATTTTCCTCTTCCATAAGAATGGGCAAATGAGCTGCAAAGCCAAAGTTAAGCCGCCTCGTCTGAATGGTGAAAAGGTGGGGGTGTACTCAACCCGTAGCCCCCACAGGCCCAACGCTTTGGGACTGACATTGGCTAAGCTTGAAGGAATTACAGGTACCTCAATTTTACTGGACTACACTGTAAAATGCTTGGTTACAAACAATTCCTTTATGTTGTTCCAACAAAGATCAGTTGAGTTAACCTCAAATGAATTGAAACTTAAACAAATAAATTATATCAGTTGATGTTTCCTAGTTTAAAAAAATGCTGGGTTTATAAATCGATTAAGTTTTTACAAATTTAAGTGGATTAAACAAAACGTTTCATTTGTCCTAAAAGTGATTTTTGAATTGTGTTGAATCAGTTCATTTTTCATAACTAGTTTGAACGAGTAACAATAAATAATTTTTAAACAGATAATTTAAATGAATATAATTGTATTATTTTCTTAGTATTTTTACAAAAAATATATATTTCCTAGTAATGTCTGATTTAAATGTTAAAAATTTTTAGATAATATTGTCAGAAAAAAAGGGGATTTGGCTTGAAAACTACTGATAATAGTAGATGATTATTATGCATTGTTGTTTTAGTAAGATTTATTATAATATTTATAAATATATTAAACTGCCTTATTATTTACTTTTTAATACTTCGGTATTTAGTGTTATATTTGGTACTTAATATTTATGTTTTTAGCCATTTTGCTTTAAAAAATCTTTTTGTTTTGTATTGCAGGAAAAAAAAAGTAAAAATAAAACACAAAATAAAAGGTATCAGTTTTAGTTAACAACAGTTTTTAAATCAAGAGCTATTTGATCATCAACATTCATGTTTGTTTAACTGTCCTTTTGCGGTAGACAAGTACCAACACGTGGACAAATTCATTATGAATAATCATGAAATAGTTTTAAATCCTCATGAAACATTGCATCAAATCATTGTAAGGGAACATGATGAAAATAATCATTAATGATTTAAAAAGTTAATGTAACCTGCTGGATGTAGTAATCATTTATCATTTTATTTCCAAAGGGGATACACTTCACTTATCAGGGGTTGATGTTATTGCTGGAACTCCCGTCCTGGACATCAAGCCATATATTCCAGACTATGATTCTCCTAAGACAAGGATAGAGGATATCAGTGAATATAGACAAACACCATCATACACTGACCCTCAGATGACACAATTGAGGGATCTAGATGAAGAATTAGACACCTCAGAGATGTCATCTGAACTTTCCTCAGAGGTCAGAGTTTGTCCAGGTTCTACTTCAGATTTCTCTCAGTCAGAGCAGCCTGGATCCAGCGGTGAAACTGATGTGCTAGCAGAGGTTAAAAACTATCTCAAACAACAGCATGTTTTCGCTGAATATCCAACCGAGGACAAAAACACAGATACTTCAGAAGGGACTTCAGACAATACAATGTTTTTAACTTCATCTAGTCTTAAATTTGGATGTGACGACTACAGTGCAATCGCTGCTTGGGTCAGATCACCTCCTATCAGCAAACTTGATGTGCGATTTACTGTGAATGCTGAGAAAGAGCTCAAAGAGTTTGTTCCCAGCGACAGTACTGGTAATACATCTTTCTGATTCTTAAAGGAACACTCCATATTTTTGGGAATAGACTCATATATTACAACTGAGTTAAACAGTTTAGTTTTAGTTTTTGAAACCATTCAGATGATCTCCAGGTCTGGTGGCAGCACTTTTAGCTTAGCGTAAATCATTGAATTGAATCAGACATGAGAATAAAAAAAAAGTGTTTTGATAATTTTTTCATCAAACGTTTGACTCTTTTGTGATTACATTGACAAAATGAAAAGTTGCTCTTTTCCATACCGATAAGTCTAGTAACTATACTCTTATTTCAGTGCAATAATCAAAGAACTTTGGCTTCAGCAGGCTATAAAATAGTTACTCAGCTGTGATCTATTTTCATTCACTGCATTATATCATTGCCCTGATGCAGTTTCTTGATTAACTTTAATTTTTTGTGCAAGATGCTAATGGTCTAATCCGATTCAATGATTTATGCTAAGCTAAGCTTAAAGTGCCCCTACCAGACCTGACAATTGGCTGAATGGATTTAAAAATAGCTGAATTCAACCGTTTCATTCTAGGTGACTTGTACAATGAGCCTATTTTTCAAAAAAAGTAAAGTGTTTCTCTAGAGTTTTACTAATAAATACAGTTGTCATTTTTCTTATTGATTTTTTCATTCAACAGATGGCACAAGACCAAGGTTCCAGTTCTTAAAAGGAACAGATGAAGCAGTGGCAGCCATCATTGGCATTTTGTCAGCTGACCCCAGATCAGTGTATCGTCGCACACGTTGTCAAGACCGCCTGTTTTTCTTCACCTTAGACACAGCAGACATCACCTGCTGGTTTGGAGATGGTTTTGCTGAAGTTGTTAGAGTCAAACCAGTGCAGAGCTCAGAACCCACAAACGCTGTGTGAGGTTTGTTCAATTCTTGATTAAAATGAGCAAAAAAGTATATGATTTACTCACGCGTTTACTTACGCCATTTCAAACCTATGACTTTCATTTGTTAATAAAAAAATGAACATACATATTTACATAAAATTACATGCATACAATTTCCAAAAAAAAAACTCAAAATCAAAAAATCATTTTCTAGAAAAAAAGAAGTAAATATTAAATGAGTTTCTGCTTAAAACAAGTAAAATAATCGAGTTAAAACAAAAAATACTAATATATATATCATATTAATATAAAATAATTTATTAATTAGTTTGGAAGTTGGAGTTTACAGAAAAACTTCATTTGGTCTTGGCTGGATAAATGGTTAATGTTATTATAATAATATTAATATTTGGACTACAAACAACACAAAACTTTAAAAAAATGCCATTAAACATTCCATCAACACTATCATAGGTTTAGAAAGAGATGAGGATGACAGAATTTTGTGATGACAGAATTTGAAGTGATAACAGAATTTGTATACATAGGTAAACTATCCCTTTATTTCATCTTATTGGTGACAATTGTGTATTCTTCTTTGAGTAGCAACAGAAAATTACAAAAATCCATCATTATTAATTTAAATAATATTTTTTGTTATTTACATTATTGCCTACTTTCTCTAAAAAGTGTTCCTGCATTTAAAAAAGGGTTTAAAACTATTACCTAGATTTTTTTTGTAAATCATAATATTTGTTTTCTTCTTTATATAAACTGTGTATTGTTGTAATTATTATGATTATTAAATGCATTTGAGATTATGCTGAATAAGTTTTTAGTGAATTACTGAATTTCTTAACCACAAATGTAAATGAAATTGATTCTTGTCGGAGAACGGTTTTGTAAACCAGTAATGAAATTACTGTAGACAAAGACGGTCATTTATTGTAAAATAGTCAGTTGTACAAACACAATCTAAACAAAGATTTGTCATGGAGGCAAAATATTACTTTGCAATTTACAATCACTAGGGGGCACAAAAGTACCTTAATGTAACAACTAACAAACAATTCTTTCTTAATATATCTAGTTAATGTTTGTATTTGACTGGAAGTAATAACGATTGGCATATGTACATGAAAACATTAAGGATTTGAATAAATATACATTTGTTATTGTTTCAGGTTTTAAAATCCCTTGAGATAAAATGTATTAAATGAGTTAGCCACAATCCTATTGTTTCCATAGTAAGGAGGTGCTCAGAAAAGTAAATTTTCAGTAAGGCTTAGGTTATCTGGTTGAGAAGAATCAGGTGCTGGAGCAAACATTGGAATTGCAATTGAGCTCTGTTCAGGCACATCATTATATGGCTTCTCGTCGTCTCCTAAAAATACACAATGGACAATCATTTGTTCTGATGTGAATCACCCAGAAATTATTGGAGATCATTCATGAACAAGACGTTTCAGCAAATACCTGTATCGATAACCAGGTGTTTTTGAGGCATATCTTCCTCCTCATCTGGCCCCAGATCCTCAATCAAAAACTCCTCTTGAGGTTTTTCACTTATTGCTTCTTCAGGCACCAGTTCTTGTTGTGGCTCAACTGGTTGCAAAGGCTCTATCTCTGCTATTGTGGGCAATTCAGGTTCTGTGACAGGAATTGTGATGGGAGAAGGATCCACTTCCTGAGCCAGACCAAGGTCTTCTGCAATAACTATTGGTTCTTTTCTTGGTCGACCTTTCCTTCCAGGAGTGCCAGTAGTGGTCCTCTTTTTGACTCTTTTAATGCTCTGTGCCCTGCGGTCAATGTTAGGAGACATTATTTGAATGACTACACCACATATATGCATGGTGCATCACAGTATCACAATGTGATATGAATTGAAAAGTAAATAATCATGGCTCAGTAGCCCTTCCAGTTCTTTTATTGGCCTCGTTTAACACTATCTTTACCCATAAACCCACTGGTTGGTTGCTTTTTCTTCTGCCTCTGCTTTTCGTTTCTTCAAAAGATCTCTGTCTCTGAGTCGCCGCCGAATTCCTCCTAGCAAACAAACAAATCACTCAGCCCTTTGCTGGTTTGCAGTTCCCTTTGTAGCATTAGCAAAGCTAGTTCAACAAATAATACACCAGTGGAAAAATGCATGATTCACACAAAATGTAGATTTTTAATGTGTGTGTGTGTGTGTGTATTAGGCATGGGACAATAACTGTTTTAAGTTAAACCACGGTTTGGAAAAGTCAAGGATTTGAAACCGACAAAATTTTCTGCAATACTGCTCATGCAGTATCTCCAGTAGAGAAGATATCCAAAAATGCTGTTTTAAATAATAATAAAATCTGTGTTTTTGAAACTAACGAAGACAGCAGAAGTCAATGATTGATTGGAATTATTTAGCCTGACATGTTTATTTTTACAAAATATTATAAACGTTTCTCAAAATAAAATATACTGTTTTCAAAAGGGAAAAAAAGTTGTTGTTTTTTTACTGAGACATTTAAAAAGAATATATATTAGAGCAGTAATCACAATATAGTGATATTATTTTCTGAGGTTATCATACCATCAGAATCTTATATCGGCCCATGCCTAGTGTCAGGATCTATTTTAAATAACATTTCGAATATGTTATTATTGCAATTGACAAAAAAAATAAACTACATGTACTACATACAAATGAAACTATAAGACTCTCTTACAAATTGTAAAACTACTCATAAAAGGTTTTATCCATTGTGGTTTCCTCAACTGTCAACTTTACACAAACTGTAATAAAATAATTTAATAAACTAAGGTTAAGCTGATCTTAAAAAGTGATTGATGTTTAATGCTAAGGTTTAAAAATCTTACCTTCATCTGAATCTTTTATTTCAGTTGGTGGGATCTCTTTCTCCAACGGGTCTTCCATTTTGTAGTCCTGTCACATGAATATAAGGAATTGAAATGACAGTGCTGAAAAAGAAAACTGCCCGCTTACATTCATGCCGCTAAGAGAATAATTATCTGGTTAAACATTACCGTGGTGCTGGGAGAGTTCTTGCAGTTGTGCTCTTATCTTATTTGCAAAGGTGGAGGACTTGGCACAATACTCACAGAAGAAAGTGAAAAAAGGAGGTCATGGTGCCGGCTGCCTGTACATTTATCTGACTGTTTGTCTGTCGTCACGAGAGATGGCCGCTATTCTTGACTTGGTCAAGGGCCGTTAGCAAACATGTAACTAAATGATCGGCAGAAAATAAAATCACTAAAGGTTAGCATTGGGTCAAAATAATCAAGATTCTAATATTGAAATATTATAACAAATCATAAAGGTCTGTGTGTGACTGTGATAAAAAGTCATTTATATATCACAGGAGTTCAGTAGGGTTTTCCTGATTAGGTTTTTTAAAAGTGGACAGTTACTGTTGACCCTAAAATCAAAAGTCCAGAGTAAACAACAAGCGAGCCAAATGCCAATTCACAGGTTTTGATTTTACCATGGTCATAGATTTATTTATTTATATACTTTGTTCTTTGACAGTTCTGTGTGTAGACCCCCATATGTAAGTTGTCCACCATATTGGAACCAACCTGTGACCACTCAAAATACAAATTGATACTGTGTATCTGTAATAGACTTGAGCAGAGGATTTTGCTGAATTAAAACAAAACATGGTGGTAACTTACAACAAAAGTATATATATAAAAATTTTTTTTTTTGTTTGTTTTTTCATACAAATAGATGCTGTGCAATGTTGAGACGTCTTAGAAAATATAACTCAATGTAGAAATCAAACTTTCAATCACATAATGTTTGAGTAAGAGCTATAATTGAATTTGACCTTTTTGCAATAGTATTTTTCTGAGTAGTAAAAAATAGTTTTGGAAGCAATGTTATTGCCATCTGTTATAAATAAAATTTGTTGCATACAGAAATACTGTCCCACAACATAATGGAATAGTAACATCTCCATGCACACTCCAGCATAATGAAACAGTCGGTCATCGAAGTACTCTTACTGTTTTTACAATATCGAAGAATTGACAATTAATATAAACTGTATTTCACTTTAGTGCAATAAGAAAGTACTGATTTCAGAAATAGCTGCTGGTTTTGGCTGTAAGTGAGAACACTTGATGTCTGGACACATCAAGAGCTCTAGAGTAGCTGAGTGTGCCATATATGTAAGCATATCTATGGCCAGAATATTTCAGGTAAAATTGATTAACATTAAAGTTTTCTATAGAATAATCATTTCAGGGAATGTTCTCTGAATGAACATTCTTCTAACATTGTCCTGTACACATCAATATTTATTTGTTGACAATTAAAAAATTCAACAACAATAAATCTGTTTTAAAAGCGAATTTCAAAAGGCTAACATTAAAGTTGTGTCTGCATTCTGAATTTCCATGTTATTTGAATACTCAAAAGTGTAGTAAAAGTCCTGCTCTTGCCATAACTATGTTATCGCAGTCGCTCACATTCTGGGCGTGTTCACAATCATGTCAAAACACATTGAGATCGGGACTGCTCTCCCGCCATGTAGATAGACAGTGCTACACTTAATGAAAGAAATATTCATCATTATTTGTAAATTAAATTGTTTATTTTATTCTAAATAACTCCATTACTTTCTATTGAATTTTATAAAAGTTATATGCTAGCTCTTATCTTCCAGTGCTGTAATGTGGTTATCTCATCATCCAAAATAACACTAACACCGAACAGCATTTTAATAGCAAGGCGCCTGCAGAACAGTTGAAACCTCTGTGTGGGATATCGCATTATTCTTTGAGAAGAAAAAGCCTCCAGTTCTTTGTAGGATGAAGTAAATGTTCAAAGATTGCTGTAGTCAGAAAAGTCATGGAAGGGGTTTGATTTTTGAAACTGGTTCTGTTTTGCTGTTTATTTTGAGTTTTTTTTTTTTTTTTCCTAGAGCACTGGAGTAAAGAACAATGTTTGGAAACTGTACAAAACAGGCTCATTCTTTGGCCATTTTACAACTGTGTAGATCATTGGACTTAATAATAAAACAGTTGACACTACAATTACAAATCTCTTATCATGTTGCCATACAAGGCATGCTAAAACTGGGTTAGGGGTTCTCATAATTCTGTACATTTGTGGTATTTATACTTTCAAATTTCTAAATGTCTCATTTCTGGATGTGATTTTATCAGTTTTTGTACAGTTTTTTTGTTTTTTTTGTACAGCTTGCTCATATGTTTCCCCTAAATATTACATAAATGTTCAGTTTTTAACAATGGAGTTGCAGTTGATTTTTTTAAGCCATATTTTGCTTATGCTTGAAGTTGGTCCATAATCTTGTTATATTTTTTTTTTCACCATACTGAAGAATATGAAAGACCTGAATTATGAGACAATGTAGAGGCAAAAAAACAAGATGATGCCCTCTCCTGGCAACTTGTTGAAGATTACAAGTTTCTTTGGAACAATAAAATCATGATATTCAGTTTGACTCAGTATATAACAGTAAATAAAGTACATAATTATATTTAAAAAATAAAATCATAAAACACAAAGATTACTTTAGAAGACTTTAAACTCTTTAAAAAACTAAGAGTTATACTTAGTGATATACCTTTGATTTCCAGAACACGATTTATTGTTAATGTGTGATTAAAGATTCTGAATTAAGTATTAAAATATGTATTTAAATGTGTATATGGCTGATGGAGGGAGAGTCTTCTTTTTAACAATAATTATTTCTTTAGTAAAACTTAACATTAATATTAAAATAAATTATTGGCTGACTGAAATTTAATGACAGTGTCACATTATAACGCATGATTTATTTTAATGATTGATTTATTTTAATGTGCACACTTTAACCACACAAAGAAGTTATTTCAACCCTCAGTCTTTCAAAAAAGTCAGAGTTCAGTGTATGACTTATTCAAGGTTTCTAAAAAAGGTAAAATGTACAGCACAACTTTTTTTTATTCTTAATGCAATAAATGACATCAAATAAAACTGTAAGTAATCTTTACAACCAATAACAGTATGAAGTAATAATAGTGCAAAGAATCAAATTGAGACAATCTTTTCATGTCACACTGTAATGCAGCAGTGTTTGATCTTATACTCGTATGCAGTGGGGGCGCTTGGCCAGAGATGGCGCTATTGAGTATATATTAGTTTCAGCGCCGTTTCCCTCCATGGTTTCTGCTCTCCCAGAGTAACTTGGCGCTGGGCTCAGATCATTATACAGTCCCATATTCTCCCTCCATTAGGCATCTTTCTACCTTTTGGGCTGAACAGAAATTCCTCCAGAACCCAAGAGGGAAGAGTCCAACTTTTAAGGGGCGAAATGGACATGAAAAAGAGGATTCATTTGGAGCTGAGGAACAGGACACCATCTGATGTGAGTAATTTTGAGGCAAACCTTTAGTTTTGTGCTCAGCCATGCTAGCCTTGCTACTTTCTACTTCCACGGATTTGTGTGTAGTTTAATGGTAAGCACATGGGTGTAATGCCCCTGGTACAGAGTTAAATTGAGAAAGTGCTGCGCGTACATCTACTGCATTAATGTTTATTCGTATCATTTTGTTATGAAAGGAACCAGGCTGAGTAAGCTACACTCAGCAACGTTACTTAGTTTGGAAAGCTGAATGAAGGCATTATTGCAGTATTCTAAGCCCCACACGCTGGATACGTTACGTGTATTCTTTTTAAGCTTCATATCTGCTTATTTTAACCTCGGCGTGGTAGGATGTGGATGGGATGGTTTATTTCGCCGCGGTGGCCATGTTTGTTGCTAACATGAGGCGCCCTTTATTACAGGCACTTAAAAGCTAAAGCAATAAATCAGATATTCTGTGAAGATAACCATACGCTAACACATTTTCGTAAATACGGTAACATTTCGGTCTTAATCGCTCTACGGCGTATGTATTCTTTCAACTAAAAATAAAAATATCAGGAAAGGCAATTTAAAAATAAAGTTAAATGTGTAGTCTGACTAACATGCAGTCGCGATATGAATTGTATTCTAAAGGGTAACATGGTTGTCGATTATATGAATTAACAATTTTTTTTTGAAAAGTTTAGTTTTTCTGACTGACTAGAGATGCTCTAAAGTAACCTTAAAACGTGCAACATGAACGCATGTATTACTCATTAAAAAGCTCGTGTTGGGTTTTATTCGTTAAATTGTTACTCGCTGTTGCGAGACGCCGATTCCCGCCATTACTTCCCACGCGCCACTACCGATCACGCTAACCATTATACTAGATAAATGATCGCTTTGATTGTTTTTAAACGTCTAAATGATCTACAGTATAAAATAACACTTGTAGAGACCAAAACAGCGACTGAGGAAAAGGAGGCTAACGTTACGTTACATGTGCTAACTTGATATGACAAACCGGTGCAAATGTTTGGTCAGTTCTAAAATCCACCAAACATCGCGTAAAATATTGTCCTGATAGCCGGAAGCTTATAGTACGTTTTTCGAACGCAGCGTTTGATTTTTGTTTAATGTGTTGTTTTTTCAGCAACACAAGCTATCCAAGGAGGCGCCATGTTGTCATGAGAGAAAGAAACTCTCCATTTTTGTCTCACTAATTTCCGCTCTGTCTTCGTCTTTCGCTGTAGGAATACGCCATCGACATATCGCTTCCATCTTACACGAGCTCCTAAATGCCCTCCATTTGTTGTTTGTCAAACGAAATTAAACAAAACACGGCGGTGTCTTTCGGATATATGTCCATGTTGTCTGGCTGTCGGCGTGTAATCTGCTGTTTTCTCATTGGCGACTCGCTGCGACAGTCTGAGCCATAGGGCCATACAACAGCAGCAGCAGCAGCAACCGCTTAACAAACAGCCTTCAGTGGTTTTCATTTTAGTTTCTTGACTACAATTTCATCGAACTAGCTTACGACCACTCACAGTGTCAAAATCCCCAACACACTTTAAGACTGTGTTTACAAAGACTGTTCTTTGTTTTGTCTGGTTAAGAAACTATCAGAAAAAAACTGCATAGTTTGTCGCCTTCTTATGGCATGCTTATGGCCAACGTGTCCAACACCCCTTTTGCAAAAGTCACATTAAATTTTTTTTTATTTGAATCATGATTGTTATGGTTATTACAGGTGAAACCTGTTAATATTGCAAACAGTATTTTATTATTATTTGTATTTCTTACCTTTTGTTTAATCTAGGTACGAGAACTTGTCCTCGACAACTGCAGATCAAATGAAGGGAAAATTGAAGGCCTCACAGCAGAATTTGTTAATCTTGAATTTCTAAGTTTGATAAATGTTGGTCTGCTCTCAGTATCCAACCTTCCTAAACTCGGAAAACTAAAAAAGGTAACTTAAAGTTTTCTTATTGTTTACCATCTTTCAAACATGTGCACAATGTTATATGTTTTGATATGGATGTATTGTTATTTTCAGTTGGAACTCAGCGACAACAGAATCTCTGGTGGCCTTGACGTTTTAGCTGAAAAACTCCCCAATCTCACACATCTAAACCTAAGCGGCAACAAACTGAAAGACATCAGCACATTGGAACCATTGGTTTGTAAACACTTCCTTTTCAAACTAGATTATGGTTTTACACGTTGAAATTTGGAGCTTAACTTGCATCACAGCTTATAAATTTTAGTTATTTATTATTATATAAATTATTTAGTTATATAGTTAGGTTAGTTAAGTTATGTACAATTTAATATAAAATGTGATGTGCACAATGTTCAGCATCCCTTTCATTCGATTGTTTATCAAGGGTCTACAAGTGTCTTTTTGCTACATTATTTTAAAGACTTTTTTATTGATAAATATTAAAATTAATTTTTTAAAAGTTTGAAATATTTCAAGAAACACTTAATAGATTGAAACAACTTGTGGTTTACTTCATTGTCTATGTACCAATTGAACCATTCTAAAAATGTCTATACACAGAGCTTTGATCTTTAAAAAAAAAATTAAGTCTTACAAAGACTATTTACTTTTATATATTTTCGTTGCTAATTTGATCTTTCTTTTTACTTGTGTAATTCTATATGAATGTTTCTTTAAAAATTTTACTAAATGTTGATTTTTTTTTTATTTTTATACTGTTAATTCGTGTCAGGTTTTACAGGGTTAAAATCATTTCACCTAAATTGGAAAATGCCCCTCATGTTCCAAACTGGCTGACTTTTTTTTGTTTAAATATACATTTGTTTAAAAAAAATAATTGGTAATTTTCACTTATTTTGTGTACAATTAGTTACACAGACAAAACTGACATTTCCTAAAATATCTTTTAAAAAATAAAGTAAATGTTGTAACTTTAATGTTTGCATGACTTTAATTTGTGCATGAACTTTGTACAAAACATGAGCTTCCCCCAACAAGAATTGATTAATCAACACAAAGTGGAGGTTGTACAGTTCTGTGATGAATCCTTTCTCTTTGGCAGAAAAAACTCGACCATCTGAAGAGTCTTGACCTTTTCAATTGTGAAGTCACAAACCTGAACGACTACCGGGAAAGCGTCTTCAAGCTCCTTCCACAGCTCACGTATCTGGACGGCTACGATCTGGATGACCGAGAGGCGTCAGACTCTGATGGAGAGGTCGATGGAGTGGACGACGATGATGACGAGGGTCAGTGTGAGGGATAGGTTCAGTTTACCAACAGTTTTTTAGGTTGCAGATGTTCATTAATATCACTTTAAACACAGAAGGAGAAGATGAGGACGAGGAGGAGGATTTTGATGAAGAGGAAGATGAGGATGATGATGAAGATGAGGTTGAAGGAGAGGAGGATGACGAGGACGGCAGTGGAGAGGATGAGGTACAAGTTCAATTTTGTGTTTTGTGTATTTGAAGGGTTAAAGTCGGATTTAATTCCAACGCCTTGTTGATGACAGGAGGAAGACTTCGGTCAGGATGGAGAAGTAGAAGATGACGAAGAGGACGATGACGACGACGATGATGAAGGTGAGTTATGTTTTTGATTTAATGACTTGAATTTGGTCCTTTTGGTTTGCTGGTAAGTAATATTTTGCTTTGCTCAGAAGAAGAGCAAGGAGCAAAGGGTGAGAAGAGAAAACGAGAAGCAGATGATGAAGATGACGAGGATGATGAGGAGGATGATTAAGAGCCAATGAACAACTCTGTTACCAACCCTTCCCTGTCCTTCTTTTCCCTCACCAACTCTGCTGTCCCATCAACTTTCCTGCCCTTCCACGACTCCCCCATTACCCAAGCAAAAGCTAAGCTCCCTGTGGGGGCAAGACTGTACCGGACGGGTGGAGCTGTTCATATGGAGCCTACGAGCTGAATGAAAGCCTTCTGGATCTCTGGCTCACTCAGCATTCCACAAGTCCACTGTCAATCCCCTGCCCGTTTGTGTTTCCAAACCTCTGGGGACTTTGGGGACTGCTATTTAGTTTTGGGTCTGTGCTTTTAATATTTTGTTGAAAGTGTTTTTTTTTTTTTCCTCTTCTTTTTTCTTTTGTTGACTTTTTTTCCTACCCACTTAGTTTTTGTTCCAAATTTCCCAGATTGCTATAGCAACTGTGTGACAAGCGAGCCATCATTTTAGTGTGGCAGCCTGTGGCACAAATCAAGGTTGTAGCTACATTTTTACTTTCTGTAAGACAAAAACTTTGTAAATAAAATAACATTTTGTGCTTTGCTCGCTCTCCTATTTCTCTGTCATTTTTCTTAGTGTGTTTAAAGGCTGACAACGAGAGGTTCAGGACAATAATTTGCATACTTTAAAGTTGCAGGGCAGTAGGAAAGTAGTCAGTATTCATCAGATGCACATTCAAGCTGATTATGTTCATGCTGCTTTTTTTCTCAATTTAATTTCTGTACCAATCAAATACACCCTGGATTGTTGCTGCTGTTTAGAAATTTTCCAAACTTATGCAAATTTAGTTCTTTTTAAGTCTGTTACAGATGTCTCCAGGGCTAAGGCAACATAACATTCATATTTCCACCATGAGTTTAAATATTCAGTGTGTTAACTTGCCTTGAAGATTTTGAGAAGAGCACACCCATTGTGACAACTAGTAATGTTTTAAGAATGAGGAAAGATCAAAAAAGTGTGAATGCCTGTACATGTTTTTTTTTTTTCTGATTTTATAAATATATGAAACGTGCATTGTAGCTTCAGGGCAAGATTATTTGTGAGTTTGGTCATTCATTTTCATATCCAAAAGCTAATGAAAAATGTAAACGTAATTTGAAATTTACTAATAATTATTTTATTTTATGATTTTAGACTTTTGGTCATAAGAAAAATGCAAGGTGCAGTACAAATTGTGACTACACTAGTGATTGGAAGCAGTTATTTAACATTTTAATCATTATATTGATGCATCATAAGTAATTGTAGAGCTTTTTATACCACGTTAATACATGGATTAATGAACTTTTATTATTAAGCTTCATGCCTGGTATTATAACCATGGGACAGTCCATATCCTACAAATCCATAAAAAAATTCCTGAAATGAATTTTCTAGATAGAATGCTGAAGTTAATAATGGGAAATTCCTAATTTATTAATTCTTATTTAAGGACTGTACAGTACAAAGTAGACTGAGGAGATTCTCAGAATAAAAAATATATATATATAGAAATATAAGAATTAGGACTAATGTTCTGTTGAGGTGAGACCAAGTTTGCATGTGAATCTTTCTGGCAGCTGTTTTATAGTGTTAAAATTTGAAATGTATATATAATATATATATATATATATATATATATATATATATATATATATATATATATATATATATATATATATTTTTTTTTTTTTTTTATAGCATCCCTGCAGAAAAAAAACATTCGACAGATCAGAATACAGTCCTGCTGCTGTTCTGGACGTTTTCCACATTCTTGTCCCATGTCCTGTTGGTTTTCCTGATAACACTGGTATTTGCAATGGCCTATTCCATTGAAATAATGTACACAGTGTTTGGTTTTTGTAGGATTTTTCTAATGACAATAACATCACAATTTATTATTAATCAGTTATGGAACTACTGCAAGAATCTTAACACAAAGCTACACTATAGTCTTGTAAACTGGAAGAACTATAATTGTGTAGAATTATGTCGAAATACATCTAAACTAATCTTTGAAAAAGATTTTAAAATGGAAGTTTTATTTTGAATTAAATGGAAGTGCAATGAATTACATTTAATTTAATGCAGTCCTGTTCTAAATGACTTGATGTACATTTGGTCAACAAATTAACAATTAAATAAATATTTTTACACAAACTATCATATATTTATAAATGCAAACTCAATTATAAATAATGAACTAATTTTGTTCATAGCTATGCAGTATATTTTTTATAAATGAGCACGAAAGCTTACATTATTTATTAATAAATATTGTTTATTACTTATTGTTTCAGAATTTTTATTGTAACAATTTGTTACGAAGAAAGAAATAAAAAATGGGGACGTAATGTGGCTGCAAATAACAAAAAATAAATAATAATGACATATCTTTTGTTATACCCTAAACTGTTAACGTATCCTGCGAGATACAACGCATGAAATCCTTAAATCCTAAATCACATATTTAAATATATATTTTGATATGTTTTACATCGGTCCAGATAACATCTAAAATGTAAATAATATATAAATGTATATAATATGTTTATTTTTTTAGTAAGCGTTAAGAATTTGATGCAAGGATTAAGCATCATTTAAAGAATACTGGTAATCTGATATTGTTGCCAATAAATAAATGTTTTTTTTTCTGGGTTTTTGTTTTTTCAGGTAGCTAAATGGTCTTTAAAATACTAGAAAGAAATGGATTGTTTGGTCTACTGGTTCTGCAGTTGTCCTGTTATCAGCATTGCTTTATCACACAGCATTTTGGGGGGGAGGGGGGGGTTAAGTAAATTTTTTTTTCAAAATGCAACTTCATATATAAACAATACAACAAAATGCATCTCTATATGAAAACATATAACTAGGCTACAATTAGTCATTGCACTATACAACTATGTGTGTTTTAAAATTTTCTAATTAATTGAATCTAAAGTAGTTTGCAATAGGGCTTTTGAATTTCCAAAATCGTAGGCTAAGTTGAGTGTATCGTGTGTATATCTAAACTCACTTTCTAATACATTACCTTAGCTGTTATATTTAGCTAAAAAAAAAAAAATTAAAGTATAACAATAAATAGGACATTTAATAATGTGAAAGCGTTGACTTCAAATGTATTCTTTGGCCATATATCTTTCATCCCAACTAACGGATGCTTCAGAAACAGGTGCGTAAAACTGGCTTGGCAGACTGCATAAAGTCTGAAGACGCCCCATATAGGAGCAAAGAGTTTTTATGGAAATAGAAGAAACCGCACGAATACAGCATGATTTCCTGGTTTATATTATTTTGACCAAAAGAAGGCGCTGTTTCCAAATTAATGATTTAGTTGTCAAATGCCAAAGCTTTGCAAAAATTCAGCCTCAGGCCTTCATCATGTCGTCAAGAGTCATTAAAACAAAAAACAGAACCTACTGGCACGAAATCCAAGAAGTGTTGCTGACATGTTGTGAAGAGTCAAACTTAGTGATAAAAAGGATGAGATGGTTAATTAGGAAGAAAATCATGTTTTCTAAATTTGACCAGTAGCCTAATACTTGGCATGATAAAAGAAAACTGTGAAAACCATATCACAAAACTTATCAAAATCTTATTAAAAGTTTTAAAAAGTGAATATGATAAAATGTTTTGAGCCCCAGGACGTAGCACTTAAAGCATAATTAATCTCAAAAAAATTTTTACTCTTCTTTTTCTTGTTTCAAACCTGTCCGGGTCTCTTTCTTCTAATAAACACTAAAACAATATTTAAATATTAAAGAAAGCTGAAAACTGGTAACCATTAACATAGGAAAAACAAGCTATCCAGTGGCTACAGAGTCAGCTTTGGATTCTGAACCAGTTGAGGGTGAGTAAATAATATCTCTATTAAATAATCAATCAATCAATCAATCAATCAATCAATCAATCAATCAATCAGTCTGTCTGTCTGTTGAGGTTACACGCCACTTTAAAATGCAAATGGCTGACTGTAAATAAGGAAAACAAAGTACTTATTTCGTTCAACTTAACGATTCTTTGTCTGCTGGACTAACTTACTAATACTGATATTAAAGTTTTTCTCAGTGGCTTTGGTGCGTTTCTAACAACACTTTTTACATTTGCAACAGTTAATGCATTTCTCGAAACAATAAGTACAAACTGCAAAACCTAGCTGATACCCTGTGAAAGCGTGTCACTTGATCAAAATGAATAGCTCATTCCTAAAAAGCAAGTATTGATGACAATGAAAGTGTCAGTGTCATCAAGATAAAAAATCCTGACACCATTTTTTATTTTTTACAATATTAATTCATTATGAAAGTTTACTAGTGTTAATTAAAATTTTTCCAATGCAAAAAAGTTAGATTTTCTGACACTTCCTGAAAATCAAGACAGCTCAAGACAGCACTATTTACTATTTGCACAACCATTTGAAAACTACAGTAAAGTTAGACATCACTGCATAGTGATCCTAGTGGCAGTTTCTCATTCTTTTCAACAAATTGCAAATGCTTTTGGACATGCATCAATTGCTTTCATACAACTCTCTGCTATTTATAACATTATCATTTGCTTATGTCATGCCAGTCAAAATTAACTAAACTTGTAATTGCTGAATAGTCATTCCATTAAAACTAATAGTCCTCATTTCATTACTTGAGTCATTACATACAAAAATGTTGAACTAGTTGTCAAAATCTGTCAAGCTAATTTTTTAAACAAATTTAAATCTTTATTTTCCTGAAAATGTCTTTAAAATTGAACAATTTGATGAATGATTTACAGACCTGTGTATGTTGTAGGCTCAGTTCCAATATGTACTGCAGTATTGTTTACAGTTGTGCGCAGCTCTACCTAAAGGAAGTTTATGTTTATTGTAAATAAGGGTGTGTTTATTCTTTTGCACAATGCTGGGAATAAATTAGGATTGCAAAGAGCAAATGCAGTAAAAATGTGAAACATACATATTCAGTGTCTTGTACTCAGATACCTCACTATATGCAGTGATGTCTAACTTTACTGTATTTTTCAAATGGCTGTATAAATAGTATACAGTGCTGTCTTGAGCATTTTCAGGAAGTGAAATCAGACTTTTTTTGCATTGAATAAATGTAGAGTAAACTGACATAATGAAAACATCACAAAGCCATTTGACTATCTTGTTTATAAACAATGGTGTCTGGACTTTTCATTTTGATGATACTGACACTTTAATTGACATGAATACTTGCTTTTAAGGAATGAACTATCCATTTTGAGCATGTGATGCGCTTTTGCAGGTTATCAGCTAGGTTTTGCAGTTTTTACTAATTGTTTTGAGAAATGCATTAAATGTTTTGCAAGTTTTGACAACTATTCATTCATTCATTTTCTTGTCGGCTTAGTCCCTTTATTAATCCGGGGTCGTCACACACACACACACACACACACACACACACACACACACAACGGACAATTTAGCCTACCCAATTCACCTGTACCACATGTCTTTGGACTGTGGGGGAAACCGGAGCACCCGGAGGAAACCCACGCGAACACAGAACATGCAAACTCCACACAGAAACGCCAACTGAGCCAAGGATCGAACCAGCGACCCAGCGACCTTCTTGCTGTGAGGTGAACGTGCTACCCACTGCACCACTGACAACTAGTTAAACATTTTTGTATGTAATGACTCAAGTAATGAAATGAGGACTATTAGTTTTATATGGGATGACTATTCAACAATTACAAGTTTAGTTCATTTTGACTGACATGACATGAGCAAGTAAAGGTGTTATACAAGAGCAGAGAGTTGTATGAAAGCAGTTGATGCATGTTCAAAAGCATTTGCAATTTGTTGTAAAGAATGAGAAACCGCTATTATTTACATTTACATTTAGTCATTTAGCAGACGCTTTTATCCAAAGCGACTTACAAATGAGGACAAGGAAGCAATTTACACAACTAAGAGCAACAATGAATAAGTACTAAAGGCAAGTTTCAGGTCTGTAAAGTCTAAGAAGGAAAGTATTAGTAGTTTTTTTTTTTTTTTTTTTTTTTTTTTTTTGTACAGTCAGTGTGATATTCAAATAGGCAATTGCAGATTAGGAAGTGAAGTGGAGACTAAATAGTTGAGTTTTTAGTCGTTTCTTGAAAATAGCGAGTGACTCTGCTGTTCTGATGCAGTTAGGGAGTTCATTCCACCAACTGGGCAACTTATGATATGCACAAATGACTAATTGTTTTGAGAAATGCATTAACTGTTGTGCAAATGTAAATAGTGTTGTGAGAAATGCACCAAAGCGATTGAGAAAAACTGTAATTTTTCAAGCTTTCGCAAGTCAAAACGATGAGTTTATTTACTTAACAAAAGCAAGGCAATCAGTTTCTTGTAGTCAATCTATTACATTTGACACTGTAAACGAATAATGCTGCTAACAGAATCTTTAACTGAACTGTATTTAACATCAGATAAGATTAATAAATTTTGTGGAAGTAAATGCTTGAACAAACTAAAGAAAATATATACTGAAGAATTTGCTTTTCATATTAATATAATAAAAGCTTTAATGTAGGTGCTACTGTACTACAAACCTGATTGCCAAATAGACTTTTTTATTTTAGGAATCATAAAGAAGAGACTGAAATCAAGAGTGTTTGAACAACATTTAGTAAATAAGCAAATATTTTAGCAACAACACTTAAAATAGCATATTAAACATCTTACTCTATATTCTGATGTGTGCACGTACAGGTCCTCATGTAAACAAAACATTATTAAAATCATTTCTAAAAAAATATGGCTTTTCTTAATTTGTGAACCAAGAGCTCCAATTAGGAGAAGGTTTTAAACTGGCCAAACTTAAATGTTTTGAAACCATTGTAATACGGTAGTAGATTCATGCATTTTGATGAGTTTGGCAGTTCACAGTTTGGTTACATTACTTGACATTGTGGGATCCCAGCCATAGTGCCTCACCAGTGCATGCTAGGATTTCGTAAACTCTTTTAACCACATTTGGACACCGAACAAAAAAATCTTTAACTTGAGGCTTAGTTACAATTTATATTTCCAATTAGGTCTCAGGTGCATTATTGTTATCAAAATCTTTTGATTCACAGAATTTAAATAGAAAATGAATTGAAAAGAACATTCTCGTGTTACAATCATATTCAAGAATAAACTCAAATAACCTCATTTCTAAAACATAAACATATCATTTAGGCCATTTTTTAAAACAAACAAACAAAAATACATTAAAAAGTAAGATCACAACTGAAAATAAAAATGTTTGCATAGTGCTTAAGTTTAAAAAAAAACTTCCACAGAGGTTGTACAGTATTTATGTGCACAAAATGTGCATACAAGGAATGACTTTCCATGAGGAGATGTTAGAAATGGGAATGTAGCCCACATGTTTCCCTAAGGTGCGGTCACATTTTCCAAATTTGCGCAAAATTTCACAGGCTAGAAGGTCCATTGTCAATATTGTAGTCAAGCAGCTTTTCTGTTGGGCAGCTTGAAACAAAACAACAAGTGTAATCTGCAATGTAAACTTCTTCACTCCCAATCGCATGGATCCTTGTTAACAACTTTGCCAAGCATCAGTGACCGCATCTTTACAGCAAAATTCCCGAGGCAGAAAGTTCTTAAGTCAATGTTAGTGAAGCAGACAAGGCGTTTACAGTGTGATGCTGTACTACAGTATCTCTCAAAGAGGAGCTTGTGAGTTCCTCACATTTTTGATCTCCAGTTCTAGCTGTTTTATCCGGACATCCTTCTGATTCAGCAACTCCCTCATTTTTCGGATCTCCTCCTGCTGCTTATAAAACATCTGCCGTAGCTGTATGTAGAAAAATACTCACATTACAGTAACATATGAAACACGTCTGAATCAAGCAACACCTTAGGGCACATTTGCACCTTATAAAGATATGTGTTTGTGTGGACAACAGTTAATACGCTTTTATTAAGGAGCTTGACTACTTTCAAGCACTTCCAGAAGTAAGGGAAACTCATTTGTATTGTTATGGTAGAGTAAACTCTTGAATCAGCCACAAAACCTCCTCTTTGCTACTGAATTACTGTGGTTACACATATCCCCTCTCATCCAAAAAACCTTGAAGTAATACTGGGGGTTATTACAAGATCTTTTATGAAATATTTCCCAAGCAATGTTTAGCAGAGCAAGGAAATGTTTACATAATTTCTAATATATTTTTCTTCTGGAGAAAGTCTATTTCTTTCAGTTTGGCTGGTATCAATTAATTTCAGGTTCAATATTATTATTTATACACTTATTATTAGAATCTGCTAAGTTAACCTAATTAGCATAGTTAAGCCTTAAAATGCACTTTAAGCTGAAATAAATAAAATAACTAGTGAAATAGTATTTATCAAGGCAAACACAAAATCAGAAAATAACTATTAAAAGTATCATGTTTAAAAATGTGTTGAAAAAAATCTCTTTGTTAATCACATGTAAGAAATGGAAAAGACATGAAAACATCACAGGAGAACTAATCATTTTGTTTTCAACTCTATATAAACAAATTGGCCTCTTTATAAAAATAATTGCAAAACAGCATTGTGCTACAAGAAGTGAGGCTGTGCATTTGAATCTATGCTGTGCAGAAATACTGATGCTTAAAAATAAAGTACAGTTAGCCTAGTTTACAGTTTTAATTTTTCTTCTTTTTTAAATATTTCCCAAATGATGTTTAACAGAGCAAAAAAATTTTCATAGCATGTCTGATAATATTTCTTCGTCTGGAAAAAGTCTCATTTATTTTATTTCAGCTAAAATAAAAGCAGTTATTAATTTTTTAAACACCATTTTAAGGACAAAATCATCAGCCCCTTTAAGCAACATTTCTTTTCCATAGTCTACAGAACAAACCATCTGTATATAACATCTGTGTGTGTGTGTGTGTGTGTGTGTATATAAATATATATATATATATATATATATATATATATATATATATATATATATATATATATATATATATATATATATATATATATATATATATATATATATATATAACTGTATATATGAAGAGTTCAGATGCAAAAGCTGCTAAACGCCACTTTCTCCAAAAATGAGGTAACGACATAGAGTGAATGCTTTAGGCATGTAGTACATGTTCAATGAATATTTTTGCTTCAAATCATCTAAATTGCAGCGTCAGCACATTCAGAACAGTAACAGTTTGTTGGCAAAAGCCTCTAAACGCCTCTTGTCTTTGATAGCAAAAGCTGCTATATCCAACCAATCAGAAGGTACGAATTGAATTATATGTTTTCAATGTAGCAGTACGCTGATACGCCGGCTTTTATGAGGAGACTGTTTTATTCCGTTCTCGATTTAGATTTTAAAAGATGGAATTTAATGAACTGCATAAACCTGTCCGACAAATGAAAACCTCCCTTACTTCAAAACTCATTATAAGTGCATTATAAGAAAAAGAAAACACAATGTACAGTCGGGAGTGGATCCATGTTTTTTTTTTTGCGCAGTGAGGCTACTTTTAATAAGTCCGATTTAAATGGTTAAATGGCAACTCCATTTAATTAAAGTGAGCACACTATACCTACACATAGTTCTGTCCAAACATCTTACAAAGATGATTTTGCATCATAGGTGCCCTTTAATGTGGATGATGGGTCAGTGTAAAGCTATTTTATATTTAGCAAAAGCTTACCTCATTCTCCGTTTTTGGTGGTGAGCAGTGTGGGGAATCTAGCTGTCCATTGCTGACATGGCTTGCAGAACTGCCGTTTTCTTCAGTGGATGGGAGTAATAATGTAGGGTGGGATTCTTTGCGTCCGTTTCCATCTTTGGTCTCTAGTCGCTGAATGAGCTGTGACAACCCAGGCTGACTGCGAGAATTGTGCATCTCTGTTGATTCCATTGGGCTTTTCTTCAAACCCAACTCCACATATGTGTCCACTTTACTTCCAGGCCTCAGTGACATCATCACAGGACCTAAAACAGGAGCAAAACTGAGTAACGAAGATAAACATCTCAGATTTAAGTTTTTGAACGCCCATAAAACATGGGCGCTGCTAGGGGTGGGAAGTTAGGATGATTGTAAGGGCTCACACCATTTTAGGACCCCCAGAGTTACTATAAGGAAGCCCAATCAACCGCCCCAAATCCTGGTTTTTTACTTTTGTCTGTGGGACTCCACCCCCTGCCACTCTTCACTTTCGTCTGTGAACGCCAATCCCCCCACTCCCCACTGCTCTTCACTTTCATCCGTGACAAAAATGTAGTAGGTACTACATTTGAATTGAGTAGACGACGTTAGAAAAGCACATTCTATATAGTATGAATGTGAGTAGTATGAAAGGAGTTCAGATGTACTACATGTACATCTGCCATTAGTCATTATTATGCGACTTGTGTGACCCGCGTCAGTTGCATCACTTCACTCCCATTCATGAATTCTCTTAAGTGGCATCAAGGGATAGCGTAGCTTTTATTGAATGCGCACTTCAGAATTTCTCTGGAAGCAGTAGGCCATCTGAGTACTTCACTCCTACTCTTTTTCGAATACTATTAATTTGGACATAGCACTCGGCTCGCATAATGTTATTAAAGTACTATATAGTATGGAAGTATGTGATTTCAGATGCATTTGGGTTTAACGTATGTTATTTGAAACATAGCTAGGTTCTTTACAGTCAGTATAAAATCTGTCCATTACAATAAAGTGTTAGCAGTTGTTAAGCAGACAGTGTAAGCAGCAACGTTACTTACAGTGATTGAAATTCTGTTATGATAACACTTGGAGGGATTAAGTAAGGTAATGAATACGCATGTATGGCAATGTTGATGTGTTTGAGCTTGGTGGCACAGATCTGCCATGCCACTGCTGCTTTGATTATTGGTACATAGCAAGCATGGAGACTCATAACTAAGCATTTACTGTCTAACAATAAAACCTACTGCTGCAGCAAATAGAACACAAGTATAACCTCTGTGGCAGATCTATGCACAAGGGGAGCTGGGGTGGAGGAGGAATTTGAAAAATGCACCTCAGATTGCTAATTCAAAAAAAATTCTCCCCAAAAAAATTAAAATAGTTAAGGCTTTTGCAACGTGATTGTAATGCAGTCTTTGGTGGGACAATAAAATTGACATAGATATCTCTTCCAGCTGCCATTATTAGTCTCACACCATTTTTTCCTTTTCTGAAAGTCGTGATACCACTATGGTGGAGTTTTACTTTTGTTATTTGAGCTAATTAGAATGCAAAAAATATTGTTTATTGTACTCTCCCATTCACTGCTTTATAAGTTTACCAAACAATGATGACTTCTGCTGTTAGAATACCAGAAATTTGAGGGAAAATAGACTTACATGACAGAATGTTTTATTATTTAAAGTGGAATATCAAAAAAAAAAAAAGTATTATCAACTTTCTTACTGCATTCAACCAGAAATTAGACCACATCATTCTCCGGGCAGCAGTTAACATGAGCATGAGATTGAGAAAGAAAAAAGTTCATATTGGTTGAAAGGTGAGTAAATTATGACAGAAAAAGGTGCTCCAACCTTTGTCTAGACCACTGATCCACTCATTTGCTGTCATGGCGGGCTTGTTTCCAGCTGTCATGGGGTAAATGTCCTCTTGATAGGACTCTGACTGTAGAGCAGATCACATAAAAACGTTTCATTATTCACATGAAAGACTGCAAGGTAAACACAGATTATCATTATTCTTTTCATCATATGTATCTTCATGCACATGAAAAGAATCATACCCTTCGTGGAACGATCATGGAGAGAGGTTCTATGAGACTTTTGATTGTCACTAGCTTGTAGAATCTGAAGATTTCACAGGAACACACATCAAGTCCTCTCTTTGGCATGACACCTGGAAGACATTCAAAGACATGTTCTGACTAGAAAATGATCCCTATTGTGAAAAGCCAGAACGCTGGCTGTAGCTTTAGAAGATAATATTTTGTTATCTAATATTGATCTCTGTACAGTGCTGAGTGTAATTAGTTACAAATTAACTAGTTTCAGTAATTAAATTACTTTTACACACACATTTCTAATTCATTAACTGAAGCAGAGTAATGCATATTTTGAGGATTAAATATATTTTTCAACAAAAGAAGAACATTAATCATTTATAAAGACAATTTCATATAAATTAGAAAAAAATATTGAGAAATTACTTTATGACAATATAAGGTATGAGTTCAAAGAAGCAGAGTAATTGTATATCAATTTATTCAATATGTTATTCAGATATTTTGCAGAACAAGTAGGGTCCTTTTGTCTGATGATAGTGTATACGCAAAAAGACTTTTAATTTTCAGTAACTATTTAAGAGCTTCCGGTAAACAGTTACAAAATCGCAGGGTTTAAGATCTGTTTTCTTTACGAATCGATCATCTTCATTCCCTGATTGAAATACGATATAAAGTGCATTTCAGAATGTAAAAGAAGCACTGCATCAAATTCCATTGTTCCACGCCCTGTCTTTAAAATACAACCATTTATTTCAGCCCAGTATTTTCAATGGAGTTTCTGTGCTCGCTTGCTGCTCCTGATGGCGCTTGTGTTTAACTGGCTTTTCATCTTGTTTTAGGCTAGAACAACACATTGAATGCTTAAGTCTATTTAACTGATTATATTTAAAGTACATTACAATATTGATGATGTAAAACAAATGAAATTGAAAACAGCAAAATTAACCTTTAACTGGAAGTTTATTAGTAGGGGAAAAACACTTATATATGAACTTATTTATAAACTTGCATATACCCCATTGCACATATAAATGAAATAAATCAATGAAAACTTGAGAAATGTATGTCAAGTATTGGTGGGCCATTATCTGCGTTAACATGCTGTGTTAACATGCTGCGTTAACATGCTGCGTTATCTGCATTAACGAGAGACACTTTTTCGGGTGATAAAAAAATATTGCTGTTAATCTATTCTCAAAGTTAGGTTGAGAGCTGGATCGATTCTACGTAAACTATAATGACTTTCACCTTGATATTTTAGCATGGATGTATACCTGGTCAAACTCCACAGTAGGTGGAGAGAACCTGTGTGTATTTCTAATGTGAAATTACCACATCAAACATGATGTGCTAACATGTATGCAGTTCACTAGAGTGAGTCTGATTAATGTTAGCCACACATCTAACTATCAGGCACCTGTAGAGTTTATGCGTTCGAGTAAAAAAAAATACAAATAAAATGGACCAGATGCAAAATTTTAAAATGAATGACGGTGAATGAAAGTCAAACCGGTGAGCCTTCGGACAAAAAAGTGCCCTTCTGGATCTTTCACTTTCTTCAAAGACACTACTGACTGCACTTACATGGGCATCTGTAATCTAGTTATTTGCCTTAATAAACAATAATATAATTAATGTGTTTATGTGAAGTGCTTTCATGTAAGAATTTCCTTTCATTTTGGGTGACTTTAACTGCAGTTCGGCAGTTTTTCTTTAACTCATGAACATTTCATTCATGCCCCCATGACAAACTGGGGTATTAGATGCAAATAAGGATTAAGGACTGGTGAGAGTGTTATGGAATTTATTAACGCACACCAAATGAAAAGAGAAAAACCTTCACATTTCGCAATGTGTGTGTGTGTGTGTGTGTGTGTGTGTGTGTGTGTGTGTGTGTGTGGACCTTAACTGACAGCCGCATGTGTGGATCTTTTCCAAAAATATGGCGAAAAGTCCTCGGGACGGTGATAGTTTGATTGCGGTGTTTACTTCAATAATGCCACTAATATCTGCATACTCCACATCTTAATTCCATTTCTGTTTAGTTCAGTTATGACTTTAGTCAGATTAAGGTGATCAAAAAAAATCGCTGTTTCAAGCTTATGTAGGCCTACAGTTCAAAATTCATGTTTAACTGAATTAAACAGTTAGTAAACATAAGCACGTCTTATTGAACATGGTTTATTTTCATCACCAATTATTATAGTAGAACAGTTTCTCAAACTGTTTGTGATGCATTTTGGAAACAGGAGATGAGCCCCTGGTCTAATGCATCACCTGGTTTGAGAAACCCATTCTCAAAGACTTAGTTTTAGTCAATATTTGGGTAGCACACATATTCTGAATGCTTTCGGCAGAATTCAAATGAGCCATTTTAATCTAGATTAATCTAGATTAATTCCAAGATTACAGTGAGATTAATCTAGATAAAAAAAAATCTATGCTCAACTATAATGTCAATATATAGAATGTATGAAATATGATATTCATTATACATTCATTTGAAACATTTTCTGTTTTAAAGATAAGAAAATAAAGTTCCAGATGAATCAAATTTGAAGAATTGAAAATTCATTCATCCATACATTCATTCATTTTCTTTTCGACTTAGTCCCTTTATTAATCTGGGGTCGCCACAGCAGAATGAACCACCAACTTATCCAGCACATGTTTTACGCAGCGGATCCCCTTCCAGCTGCAACCCATCTCTTGAAAACCCTACGGACAATTTAGCATACCCAATTCACCTGTACGGCATGTCTTTGGACTGTGGGGGAAACCATAGCACCCAGAGGAAACCCACGGGAACACGGAGAGAACATGCAAACTCCACACAGAAACACCAACTGACCCAGCTGAGGCTTGAACCAGCGACCTTCTTGCTGTGAGGCTACAGCACTATCTACTGCACCACCGCTTCACCAGAATTGAGAATTTAATGAAAAGTAATTTAAATACAATTGTAATTAGTAATTCCTTACTTTTTGCATTAACTTTCCCAGCACTGTCTCTGTACAAATGTAGATGGTTACGTTGTTTTTCTGATTAGCTCAGTAATGTGATAAAGATAAAACTAAACTGAAACTTTTATGATTCATAAACAAGATACATATTTATCTACAGTTACTGTGAGCATGTGCATGTTCCACCTTAATCTAAAACACACTACAGATCTCTTCTGACAGGTAAAGCATTTCAAGTATTCACTTGCCCAACCTGATAAGTGACAGAATTAAAAGTTGACATGTACTGCTTCTATGTGCAAGCGATTAAGTCACAATTTGGAAAAAGTATGTGCACATGTATAGTACTATAGCACTTACCCATTCCCTTCTGTGGTAGATGAGACCTGTATTCAGTCAAATAGTGCACATATGGCTTCTCTGGACTGATTTCATAGTATCTGATATTTCCATCACCCTAAAGATTAAACAAGGACTATTAAATGATACATTACTGACCTGTGTCATCATTACAGCACTAAAAAAGTTGTTGTCAGTCTGGTAATCCAGGTTTTATGTACTCACTTTTCCAGCTATGTAAAGCATGTGTGTGTCCGGGTCATAAAAAGGGAAGAGAACACCAGAAGAGCCGTCTAAATCCTCAGAATAAGATGGCTGAGAGAGATCCTCCTGCATTACACATTCACGTACATGTCAGTTTGGGATTTTTACAGTTTTTGCAAAAGCAACAAACTAGAACTGCACCTACATTTCATCCCAAAGGAAGTCATTAAAGATAACTTATGTTGTGACACTAGAGGTAATTAACACTTTAGAGGGCATTCGTTGAAAAACTCTATGGAAAACAATTGGAGTGTTACTGGGAGTTATTACAAGACATTTAAACTTTTGCAAATTAAAAGAAAAGTAATATTTTTTCAATGTGAATGAAGTTATCATCATATATGGTAACATTACTTTTCACTCATTTTCCTTTGGCTTAGTCTCTATTTCAGTGGTCGCCACAGCAAAATGAACCGACAACTATTCCAGCACATGTTTTACGCAGCAGACGCCCTTTCAGCTGCAACCCAGTACTGGAAAACACCCATACATACACATATACACACACACTTTGGCCTGTTTAGTTTTAATCAATTCACCTATAGCGCATGCCTTTGCACTTACTAGAGAAACCAGAGTATGGAGGAAACCCACGCCAACATGAGAACATGCAAACTCCACACAGAAATGCCAACTGGCCCAACCGGGACTCGAACCATTGACCTTTTTGCTATGAGGTGATAGTGCTAACCACTAAGCCACCAAACACTGAGCCACTGTTATTACTTATACACAAAAAAATATTGCTGCCTTATTTTTTTAGTTCAATAAATTCTTAACTTATATCATTCAAACTGACAAAAATATTAAGTTAAACTTGGTGTAACTTCAAAAAATGTAGTTGAAACTTGATAAACCTTTTAATATAATAAAAAAGTACTATAAAAACATTTGTAGTCATGACTTTTTTGCCATATAATTTTTATGGTGCATCTGAAAAAAAAACTAGTTTTAGCTAAAAGCTTTAAAACTTACAGACCTCGAAACTTGTCCAATAACATACATTTTGTCAGATAGATACATTGCCATGTTATTTTTATAAAAGTTATTGTACACATTAAAGTAGTTCACATTTAATATGCTTGCTGGAAATATAAAATATACGCTTTTGTAAATTTCATTTGATGCTGTCACCAAAATAAGCCATGCATTTAAACGTTTAGTCAATTACTGTTTAAACAGATTACTATTCAAAATTTGAGGGTCTATGAAAGAAGTTACCACTTTTATTTTTGTGCATTTTCAGAGCAAGTGTTGAATGAGTGTATGTATAATTAATATGCAGCATTTCTGATTAAAAAATGCAAAAATAATCAAAATCTAAAAGCAGAACATGGAAAAATATATTTGCAATTTAGGATTACATTTCTGATTATTGATATTTTTGTATTTGATGTTGGATTTGATTTAGTGGGTAACACTACTGCCACAACTGAATTTATTTTAATGAATGAAAAACTGTCCTTAAAAACTAGACATAATGTATCTTTTTACACACGTTTGCTTTCATAGTAGGCAAATTTAGTCTATTTTGAGCAACACTCACTTGATCCCAAAGTGCAATCTGGCGATGGTTCCAGCGTGAGTTTCCCGTGGAGAGGAGCATTTTCAAATTTCCAAGAAATAGCACTTTACTGGCTTTGTGTGATTTGCAGTTAGTCTCCTGAAATCACACATGACAATTGAGTGAAATGTAAAAATAAATGTACATCTTTCTCTTTCACAAACAGATACTGAGTGGAAAACCTAAGGACGACCTCGACAAAATTTAACACCATTCTTTTCTGGGTGACAGATGAGTCAGGCTGACCTGGCTTTTTAAAGGTGTTAGTTTTGGAAGTGTGCTGTCAGAGGAGCTGACCAGGGGAAATGCATTTCTGTGCAAGTGCACATATGTGGTGTGTCCAAAACGACACACTTGTTCACTCATTTACTGGCCCCTACATAGTGTATGGCAGCTGAGTGAACTAGAACAGGAAAGAGGGATAGAAAATGATTGAATTTGGACAGTGTGAAGCAGAGAGCATTTCAACTGCCAAACTTTAATATATCCTGTTTGGCTTTAATTGAATGTGACTGCTTATATATCACATTTATTGATATTTTTGATTAAAAAGAAAGAAAGAGAGAGGTTAAAGTTTACTGCCATATCGGATTCAACTGCTTTTTAATGGCAAAAATATTTGCAGACAATATTTGCAGACTTTTTTTAAGGTCTACTTTGGTAAAAAATAAATAAATAAATAAAATAAACAACAAAGTCTACGGGATTCACATTTAAAAACAATTCCTTCAAAGTCTCTCCAGATAAAGACCTTGCCTATTAACATTAAATATAGGACATTGCTAAATTATGGTTTAATAAAAGAGAACAAAAAATTATGATAACTATTATTATTTACTTTTACTCATGCATTAAATTTGAACTGCTTTCATGTTTATTTGCTCATAAGAAATTTTAATACAACATAGTACATAAATACAAGATAAAATAGTACTTTATTAAAATAATGTAATGTACATTTCTATAGCGCATTTATTTACTTTACAAGTGGAAGGGGGTTCCCTCCACTTCATGTGCAAAATCCACCTGGCTGATTACATGGCAGCCACAGGACAACACACAGCACACACATTCAGTGGATGGGGATGATTGAGAGGCCATGATGGGTAAGGGCCACATTATTTTAATCAGGACACCGGGGTTACACCCCCACTTTTTACAAGAAGTGCCATGGGGTGTTTAATGACTACAGAGAGTCAGACCCTCAGTTAATGGCTCATTTGAAAGAGTGAAAAGTGCTCTCTGACAGTATAGTGTATCCATCACTATACTGGGGTATTAGAACCCAGCACCTCCTGCTGGCCTCACTAACAGCACTTTCAACAGCAACATAGTTTTCCCAAGTGGTCTCCCATCCAGGTACTAACCAGGCTCTGCCCTGCTTAGCTTCAGTGGGCTGCAGGGTGATATGTCTGTGGCTAGTGTGTGAAAATAATTTTTTTTATTATTTTCTCTAGGTTTCAGTGTCCTCAGGCGACTCTTGAGGTAATCCTGGGTTACATTATTAAATGAAATTCGCCACCTCCAGTGTTCATGTCAGCTGTTTCTTCACTTCTGCAGGATTTTGGGAAAGGGCACTTCAACAAGTGCACAAAGGATGTGCAATCAAAATCAGTGCACAGAGTGGAGAGTGGGTAAAAAGAAGTACACAAATATAGAGAATGAAGTTGTTCACTCAAAATTAACTGTAAAATGTAGAGAATATTTTTTTTACATGGCAGCTCGTAGACCTTGGAATGAGCTTCTGCTGTCCTAGGGTCAATTCAAAGAATGTTCAAAACACAGTTATTCACTTTACTTTATTTAATCATGTGTTGTAAATTGTAAGAATTTGAGCTTTGTATTTTGTGTGTGTTCTGTTTACGTCCAGCACTTTGGTGACAATTTTGGTTTTCGAAAGTGATTTAGAAATTAAGTTGAGTTGAGAATTCAGCCACCACTACAAAACAGCAGACTCTTGAAAGCGGTTTCAAACGCAGCTATACTTTAAGGCACCTTAAAAATTAAAGGGTTAGTTCAACCAAAAATGAAAATACTGTTATTAGTTATTCACCCTCGTGTGGTTTCAACCCTCTGAGACTTTTGTTCAGAAATTAAGAAATTATAGATGAAATCCTAGAGCTCTCAGACTCTTTATAGACATCAACGATTCAGAGAAGTCTCAAAAACATTCCAAAAAATTCCACGTGACTTCAGTGATTCAGCTATAATCAGATGAGGCTCTAAAAACACTTTTGTGATCCTTATCAGGTCATCAGTGTGTACATTGTACTACGCACTACAGGCAGTTCAATATTTTGCCATCAGAGACTAGTTCCACTTGGAAAGGTTCATCCCTGTGTCCTAATCCTTTTGGAGAGTCCTTCTGAAGGAATTAGGAATGAGTAGGGATGCAGTAAGTGACACCAACAAATTCCTGACTCAATGGATCATGGTGTCCATCAGTTCTATACTTCTAAATCCTTCATTCCAAAGGCTCATTTGAAGTGGCCATTTTAAAGCCAATTTGACATTTCAATATGCTGACTGTGATTGTTTTCACCTGAAGTGTCTATGCCGTTTGGAACACACTGAGCAGCATAACATTCCTGTAGTATTGCCTGTAGTGAACATGCACCCTGATCTGATATGGAAGACAAAGTTGTTCCTATAGGGTTTTTGGCACACAAATGAGTTCTTGCAACTTCATATAATTACAGTTGAATCACTGAAGTCACATGGAATGTTCTGACAAAGTTTTTGGTTCCTTTTCTATACTCTGAACATTTTGATACTGCTGCAGTCTATGGAGGATGAGGGAGTTCTTCTATATATCTTTATTTATGTTCCAATGATGATCAAAGGTGTCGAGGGATCGGAAGGACATAAGGGTGAATAATTGATGACATCATTTTAATTTTTGGGTGAACTAACCATTTAAGCAAAGCATGAATTAGTGATAAACCTGGTAAAAATTGTATGAAAAAGAATAAGCTGTAAAGAACATCTTTTAAGCCACACACCTGTAAAATGGTGCCAGTACGTGGGTCAATCACCCGGATTTTCTTGTCCTTGCAGGAAGTAGCAAGTTTGCTGCCATCTGTGTTGAAGGACATGGACAGAACCACATCTGAATGAACACTGATGGAGCGCACAGGGTTCTTAATCACCTGTTCAGGAACATCCAGCTTCCACACCATAACCTACACATGAGCACACAAACAAACACATTTACGGTAAATTAAACTGTAAAATATCTGACTTTTAATACATGCACACTCATGTTTAATTGTTTGGAAATCAGTCAAGTTATTTAGCATTTTCAAAAAATGAAATTAACAACATTCTATGCAATCAGCAATTCCAGAAATGTAGAGACAAACCTATATGCAAGTCATAAAGCCTTAAAATGTGTAATAGGAAACAAAAGATATCCATCTGTTGGAAAGAATAATTACAGACTAACAACAATTGTTTCATTAGAGTAAGACTGACTCAAGATGTAATGTGGACATATTACACAGTATATTTACATGTTTGCTAATGCAGTTATAATAAATTTATATGCAAAAGGTTAGCTTGTTATTTAAAATATATATTTTTGTCCTTTTTTGTAAGATAACAAAAGAGGAAAACTTATAAACAGAATGCATTTTTTAAACAGTTTTTTTTTAGAATGCATATTGGAAAATGAGTTTCAATAATAGTAACACAAAGTGTCTCACATCTGCTTTCCACCATTTTCCCAACTCACAAGCATCAAGCAGCATTACAGGCTGTTTTGTAGAGCTAAAAATAACTGAAAGCAAATGACACCAGAAGCCAGACACATTAAATTTATAAATGGCTGCACTCGTTAATGCATGAAAAATAAGGTAGATATATATCAGCAATTTAGGAATGCTGCTCCTCTAGCTATAATCATTTATTTAGGAGATCTTTTTCTTTAAATATTAACAAGGTCGCTGCAGACTTTTGGATCAGTTTAATTGAAGTATACCACTATCTCATCTGCAGTAAAGTAAAGGAAAAACATTTAACAAAATGGTAACTTCTAATGGTATGCAGTTGAAGTCAGAATTATTAGGCCCCCTTTGAATTTTTTTTCTTTTTTAAATATTTCCCAAATGATGTTTGACAGAGCAAAACAAATTTTCACAGTATGTCTGATAATACTTTTTCTTCTAGAGAAATTCTTAATTGTTTTATTTTGGCTAATATAAAAGTAGCTTTTAATTTATTAAAATCCATTTTAGGGACAAAATTATTAGCCCCTTTAAGCTATATTTTTTTTCGATAGTCTACTACAGAACAAACCATTATTATGCAATGATTTGCCTAATTACCCTAACCTGCCTAGTTAACCTTATTAACCTAGTTAAGCTTTTAAATATCACTTTAAGCTGTATAAGTGTCTTAAAAATATATCTAGTAAAATATTATTTACTGTCATCAAGGCAAAGTTAAAATAAATCAGCTATTAGCGATGAGTTATTAAAACTATTATGATTAGAAATGTAAACAGAAATGTAAAGAAATGTTAACTTTCCGTAAACAGAAATTAAGGAAAAAATAAACAAGGGGTCTAATAATTCAGGAGGGCTAATAATTCTGACTTCAACTGTATTAGAATTTTAGACCCTTATTATAATACTAATACATGCGGGATAATCTGTAAATGTAATTATTGTTATAATTATTATATTAAATTATCTTATTATTATATTAAAACCACAATGAATTTACAAAACTAATATTGATATATATTGATGTTTTGTGTTTCAAACATTTAACTACACAAAGTAAATTTTTCTGTTATTTTGCTCAAAGATCAGCATTGTGCATCATGTCACATATTCATATCATTACAAGGACTTATTTGTAATTTGATAATAATCACACTAAATCCTACGGCATTATCACCGTTGCATAGGAATTACTTAAAAACTTGTCAACATAATTTTTTCTCCTATTTTGTGCTTACAGGCGATGGCAACAAAGGTTAATTTATTTTTACATTTTTAAATTAGATCTTTATTTTGATTCTATTTTTAAGTTTGCTATAAATTTCAGTTTAGTTGTGGTTTTGTTAGTTTTTGTTTAGGTTTTATTTTGTAAACACATTTCTATTTAGTTTTCATATATTTAGTTTCTGTAATTGTAGAATACATTAATAAATTAACAGTTAAAAGAACATGTCCAGCAAAGTTTAATGTTTGGACAGTTTACATGATCTCTTCTGCAAACCTCTTAGTAATGAATATAAAATAATGAATACTAAACCAAACACCAATACATAAATACGAATGCCACTTAAAATAATCAAATAAAAGCAAACTTTGTATTATAAAGAAATGATGAACCTCTTCATGCTAAAGATCACATATTTAGTTAAGCTTGCCTAGTTTACATTTTGGCAGATGAAGAATAGACAGGGCACATGTACTATTTACTGAGATGTTTGTGTATTGATGAGTTTGACTTTGTCTTTTGGTTGTAAAAGCGCCATCTACAGGTATGTCTATAAACAGCCACATGTCAGAATGAAACAATTAACTTTTTTGCTAAATGTTATTTCATGTTTTTCAGTGACTATTGTTTGTTTTAGCTGTTCATTTATTGTGAATATTTTATTTATTTTGGCTAAAAAAAATATGTTTTTGAACGATAGATTTAGTCTTAGTTTTAGCTTTCATTTAGCTGCTAAAACAAACTTGCAATGGAGAGTTTTCATTTTAAGCCCTGAATACAACTATTTCAGCTCTGAAGGGAAAGTTTCTACCTTACAAAATTGCTTACAACAAGCAGAGTTATACATGATACAACTTGTGGTGGTGTTCGCTGAGATGTTAGCACTGTGAATACTTGAAATGTCTACCAGAGGGCCAGTTTACTGAAATCTTGTCTACCTTCATTCCACGACTAATTGTAAGTATAGCTGAAGTACCTGATAGTCATAGCCGGTGCTGAAAATGATGTTGTTGGCAGTGGGATGCCACTCAATGAGGCCTACACGTCGAGAATGACCCTGCAGCTCTTTCCAAGGCACTGTGATGGTCTTCAAAACACCATGTTCAGGGATTTCCCAGATTTTCACCTGAACAGCAAACATGCACACACATCATAAAGTTGTAAAAATGTGAGAACAAAGTTACAGAATATCAAAGGTACCCATCTAAATTCAGCTACTGGATTGTATGTAGAAGTTTTAAGTCTGAAAGGCAAAGAACTATGCACAATGTGTTCAATTCCAGGTTTTTAATGAGTTGAGTCTTTGACTCCTTTTACTTTACATCAAAACCAGTAATAATACTCTAATACTTAAGTTATTATTGCACATTTAATATATTTTTACATTTTTTTACCAGCCCAATCTCACTAGGAAATATAACTATTTTAAATATTGTTTAAAAAGTCCCACAAAATAAACCTAACCCTCATTGGGGATGAGCACATTGTGCGAAAATGTACACATAAAGTTATATAAATTAGCAACTTAATCAAAAAGGTACAAATATTGCATTGCTTCTCTTTTAAGAACACTCCCATTCTTAAGCAATACACCATCTTTTAGGATAAATGTTAAATTAGTCAAATTTTGCTGTAGCATTAACTGATAATGATAAACAGCTACTGTATTGCCTTGGTTATTTATATGTTGCCCATGTGTTTTTCTGCTATAGTCAAATATTATCCATGAAGAATAAATACATGAAAAATTGGGTATTCTTTATTTACATTTTCCATCTCAATATTCGGTTTGATTAAGTCTTAAAAACTTCTTAAACACCTTTGATTTTCAAAATAACATGCAGTGGATGTAAAAATTTAGGTAACACTTTAGTTTAAGTACAAAAACTGGTGGCACATGACTACTACTAAGTATCGGCTGTTTATTAGTACTTATTCATTCATTTATTTTCATTTTATTTATTCATTTATTCGGCTTAGTCCCTTTATTAATCTGGGGTCGCCACAGTGGAATGAACCGCCAACTTATCGAGCACATAAAACCCATCACTGGGAAACACCCATATACTCTCATTCAGACACATACAATACACTATGGACAATTTAGCATACCCAATTTACCTGTACCGCATGTCTTTGGGCTTAGGGGGGAAACTGGAGCACCCAAAGGAAACCCACTCGAACACGGGGAGAACATGCAAACTCCACACAGAAATGTCAACTGACCCAGCCGAGGCTCAAACCAGCAACCCTCTTGCTGTGAGGGGACAGCACTACTTAATGCGCCACCGCGTCGCCCTATTAGTACTTATAAAGCACATATCCTACATGAATTTATTCCACAACCGTAACCTAACAAACTTATTACTATTAATAGCTACGATTAGAATTTATTGAGGCAAATCCAAAGTTAAATGTTTATTAACAGTGAAAATTGTACATTAAAATAAAGTGTTTTAAATGATGTATTTCATTTAAATTATATATTTTATGGGTCAGTTGGCATTTCTGTGTGGAGTTTGCATGTTCCCCCTGTGATCGCGTGGGTGTCCTCCGGATGTTCCAGTTTACCCCACAGTCCAAAGACATGTGGTTTTGTTGAATTAAATAAATCAAACTGGCCATAATGTATGTGTGTGTATAAGTATGGATGTTTCCCAGTACTGGGTTGCAGCCGGAAGGGCATCCGCTGTGTAAAACATATTCTTGATAAGTTGGTGGTTCATTCCACTGTGGTGAGCCCAGAAGAATAAAGGGACTAAGTCGAAGGAAAATGAATGAATGAATTTAAATTCAAATAATAGAAAACCAGATGCATGCTATATTATGTTACATTAAAATAACATACGTTAAAATGCAAAGCTATCATAGAGGTGTGCATAATTACAAAGTAGTCAACATGACTGTTGTTTATTTCTAAAGTTTCCTTCATGTAGAACAAAGAAGTTTTGCTCAATCTCTGTTTGAATTGTTTGAATTCCTGGCTTCATTTCAGTTGTTTATCATTGATTATTTGCATTTAACAGCTATGCACTACATACACATTAGATGATTAGTGAACAAATGTCAGACGTCGATTCTAGTGCTGGAGTTAAGTGCACCAGGGCTCTTCAAAGTGGAGGAATCAAATCTTTGGAGTCGAAGTTTGTTTACACTTACTGTGGCGTCCTCTGAACAAGATGCTATGCAGAAGTCATTAAAGTGATTCCATTTGATGTCAAGTACATTCCCTCTGTGACCAGAAACCTTTGGATGATGAGGGTCAACCTTGCCAGTCTGTAAAGACACAAAAATGGTCCATTATTTTTGTAAATTTGCATTGAATACAATCATGAGGTTATGGTTTAAGATATTTCCTACATGACCATGTTAGTCTTTCCATGCTGATAAAAGGATTTAAACTGTAAAAGTGATAACCTGCTGTTGTTTTCTTTTGTTGACTATTTCATTATTTTTTTTGCAATTATAGCTTATGGTATTGAAGTGTGCGGCTGAATGCTAGATGATGTTTAGCACTGTTCAAAGACTTAGGGCTCTATTTTGATGGTCCATGCGCAGAGCGCAAAACGCAGGGTGCAAACGCTTTCAGGGTGTGTCAGAATGCATTTTTGCTAATTTAAGGACAGGAAAATCCGCTTTGCGCCGTGGCACATGGTCTAAAAGGGTTGAGTTTATTTTCTTAATGAGTTATAGGTATGTTTTGAGAATAAACCAATCAGAGTCTCATCTCCCATTCCCTTTAAGAGCCAGCTGCTTCGCGCCATAAGGGCATTTGCTTTTAACATAAAGTTCACTTTCGATTTTGCTCTCGTGGATAGGGAAACCTTACCGCACAGATATCAATTAATTAATAAATAATTAATTTCATTTCAAGCCCAAAGATTTGTTTCAAAACTATTTTTTAAATTCAGTTCTAATTTCCAGCAAACAAATAAATGAACAATAATAACAAAGTGTCGTCAAAATACGGAGTTATTTTCAAATACACCTGCTATGCCCCATATGGTCTAAAACCTGACAGGTGGGCAAATCTAAGCTTGTTTTTAATAAAACAAATATAAATATGGATATAATAAATAATACTGCTAATAATAATAACATTATACAAAAGCAAATTGTTATGAACTGAAAAAGCCTCCCTAGATGAAGAAAGTATGAAGGTAGTGGTTTTTAAATTCATGTAAGCTAGAAATGAATATGTTTTGTAATATTTTAATAATTTATATTTATATCCTATATATATTCTTATTATATATATCCTTAATATATGGTATCTTTTCCATATGTAAAGATATTTGCGTATTGCTCTACATCTTGTGTGAAGTGTGTAAGCCAGGCGCACTTTGCACCAGTCAATAGACCGACTTTGTTCTGGTCTAAAGTTCAGACTATTTACAGTTTCTCAAAATAGCAACGTGCCAAAACAGGCCTGCTTTTTTAGACCAAAACGCCTATGGGCGCACATATGAGCAGTGTGGCGCAACACCTCAAAATGACCCTTCCGCCGAGTTGAAAGTAGCAAAATACTATTGCGCCGCGCCTTGCACCACATTGCGCCGGGTGTATGATAGGGCCCCTTAGGGTCAATAAGATTTTTTTGGAGAGAATAATATTAGTAAGAACACATAATTTTGATAGTGACAGTAAATTAAAATGTGTTGAGATTGCCATATCAAATAAATGCTGTTCTTCTGAACTTTCTTTTATTTAAAAGAATCCTGAAAAGCATCACAATCAACATACCAAGCAGAAAATGTTTTTAACATTCATAATATTACAAAACCTTTCTAAATCTACCAAATAAGAATGAATTTTGTAGGATTGTGACATAGACAACAGTTAATGGCTTGTGGAAATTCAGCTTTGTCTTTTATAGCATATTTTGTTACGTTTAACTAGTTGGAAACAAAAATTTCACTCAACTTAAAAAAAAAAAAAAAGAATGTAAATTTGACATCCTGGGCAACTCTGTGGCGCAGTGCATAGCATGTTCGCCTCACAGCAAGATGGTCGCAGGTTCGAGCCTCAGCTGTGTAAGTTGGTTTTTCTGTGTGGAGTTTGCATGTTCTCTCTGTGTTCTTGCATGTTTCCTCCGGGTGCTCCGCAGCCAATTCAGCTTATTTAATTCCCCTATGGCGCATGTTTTTGGACTTGTGAGGGGAACAGGAACACCCGGAAGAAACCCACGCCAACACAGGGAGAACTCCACACAGAAATGCTAACTGACCCAGTCGGGAATCGAACCAACAACCTTTTTGCTGTGAGGCGATCGTGCTACTCACTGAGCCACCGTCATGCCCCGAAAAAACTATTCTAAAATGCAATTTCTAATTTTTTTCCTGAAAAAAAAGACAAAGATACTTACTAAAATTAATACAATGTCAATGCTGATAAATAAAGCACAACTGTGTTGTGGGCATCAAAAGTTTGAGTCCTGATTTGCTGACCTTTCCTGCCAACAAATTCTTTCCTGTCATAAAACTACTAAGAAATAAATCTCTAAAGGTGCCATAGAAAATCTTGAAAGTTGCAAATCTTTTGAAAATATTTCTATTATTTTGCTGAAATGTAAAAAAAAAAACAACAAAAAAAAAAACACTACAGCCAGCAATATTATTGAGAATGGGAGCTTTCATTTGACATATTGGTGAGTTTATAATATGAAATGTAATGTAATTGTAATGATTTTCTTGAGGGGGTATTGGCTGTGAAAGAACAAATTTAAGCATCTCCTTTCATGAAACCTCAATGCTAGAGTGGTGGATATAGCTGGAAAAGCACCAGTAGATAAGACACTTATTCATCTCTCTGACACGTTGACTGACACTTGCACCAGTTTTTCACATTTGCACCAGACACTTTCTTACAATCACTCCATATCTCTAGAAAAAAAAAAGTGCATTTCTGAAGTGTGTTTTACACAGGTGAGTGGGCTTGACAAACCACCTGTAGAAACTCTCTTCTCTCTATATGCACCAGACACTTTAATTCAACCCCAACTTACAAGGACACAATAAGGAAAACAGTAGCTGTGTCTCATTTCAGAGGTTGCATCTGAACAGATCATTTTGAAATGAAACGATCTAGTCTCCAGGTCTTGTCACCTAGTAACTGTAAAAGCTGCTAACTGTATAAGCGCTAATAAAATTTGCAATAACTTTTTTCCAAAGTGATTTTAAAACTCTTTTTAAGCATTCTGAAGGCAAAGCAAGGTTTACAAAAGCTCGAAATATATTTCCTATGATCATGCATGTACACATAAAAATGTAAACGGCCTATAAAATCACTATTTAGTAAGACATGTCATACTCTTTTTGTTTTACTTTGTCATACTCTGTTTACATACTGAACATGTATTCATATTCTTCATGCCTTTCGAAATCCAAGTAGAATAAGTAGAAGTAAGGAGTAATATTTTTATTTTAAAAACGTCCTGCCATCAGCGTGCTGTTCGAGATGTTGTGTCCTTCATTACCTGGGAAATGAAGGATGCATTTTGAGGCTGCATTTAAAGGAGACTTCAAATGTTTTTGGAATGAGACAGCCTTTGTCTCGCCATGATGACGCATCGCTCTACGAATGCATCCCTTTAGAGGATGCAGCCTCTGAAATGAGACACAGCTAATGTTTACCTGTGAATGTAACACAAATCATGTTGCACTACTTGTTTTTTTAAATACCTCTTTTGCACACTATCTTGCACAATAATGGTATGTCTTATGTAAAAGTAGTCTGTCTTAGGTTTAAGTATGTATATTAAATAACTGCTTTGGTATGTTAGTTATATATAGGTTTAAAATAGCTCTGAAGTCCACTGATGTGTTCGTATTTATGATTACATTTATTCATGTAGTAGCATGGTCCCTTTCATTTCACTTTATGTCCACACATGTAGAGGAAACAATTGATTGGCCTGAATTGAAAAACTGAAGTTGCAACCTGTAGAAAAAATACAATAAATGTGTAGGTTTGAGATGGATAACCTGTGCCATTTTTAAAATGTTTAGGATTTCGATTCTTATTTTGAAAACAAGACAGCCATTAGCTTTGGGGTAAGTCAATACAACAGCATCTTATCAGTTTTACTCGTCAAAATGCTAATTATCCAAAAAGAAGAATTACAAGTATATTCAGCACCACCCTGAAGAAGAATAAGGTCAGTTTAACTGCATCGTGTTAATGTTTATATTGTGAAATGTTCAGTGTACATTTGTAATGAGGCAACTAACACATCTACACCCAGTATGATTACATGGACACCAATAACCTGATTTTAATACGATTAGGACAATACTCTGATTAAGAGTCTACCATGTAAACAGTGATTTCTGATGATCTTACTCCAATTAAAGTTATAATCAAACAAAAAAGACACCATATTAAGACATGTGGAGTGTGCCTATTTTAGCCACATTATTGAAGTGCAGTACAGGCATGTAAACACCTTAATCAAACTATTACTGTCATGTAGAATTTTTGCCGCATTTTGCGACAGGATAGTCTATACACAAATGCCTGTTTGACACTATGCTCTGCACCCACCGAGTCAGATAGGACCACAGACACCTGCATCGCGAAATGCTGAGGTTTTGTTTACCCATATGGCATGCGGTCTCAAATTCCATTGAAACTACACTCCTCCAGCCGGGCATACTCACATCCAATATCTCGCTTGTCATGGGGGGCATGAATGAAATGTTCCTGAATAAAAGTAAAATTGCCAAACTGCAGTACAGTCAACAAATTAAAAATGAAACACCGGAAATTGTGGATATAGCGTGGTGACGCGATGACATCAATTCAATTATGTGCTATAACATCTCAAACGGGATCATTCAAAACGAAATTCATGTAAACACCTTAATCATATTAGTGTCTTATCCAGGTTAAGGCAAATAATTTTATTACTGATGTCCATGTAAACGCAGTCACTGTTGAATACATGTTTAATGCATGTTTATGCATCTTGTTATATCCCTCAGCTCTCTGACTCTTATATCACTCTTTCTAAAGCACGGTGCCCAAACATTTTCGTATAAAGGGCCAAAAACCAAACATCATTGACGTCAGTGGGCTGAAGATAACTATATCAAAATATTTTACATTAAAGCTGCCATGGGTCATTTCTTTGTGTATTTAAAAAATATAAAAAAATCAATAGAAAGCATTACTTTGAATCATATTAACTAATGCAGTATGACTTTTTAAATTATAACTTGCAATAAAAACATAAACCCTCACATGTATAACACAGAGAAGTTCAGTGAATAATACACAAGCAGAACCTGCCTTTGCCTTGATTTGATCTCTGCATTGTCCCTTAACCGTCGAGTGACAGTATGTACATTTTAAAGTAAGTTACAGCATTTAATTGAAACATTTAATTTTAGTTAGCTGTTTCTTTGAAGTTTAATAGTAAAATAAACAAATTAAAGGTTACATTAAGTTTGAAATGACAAGATCTAACTCATCCCCATCATTATCTTTCTTCTCAGATGGGATGGTGGGCTAAATCAAACTTTGGCCCCTTATTTGGGAATCTCTGTTCTATAGTAAAAAAAACTCATCTTTACGAGGATGTTAATATTAATTCCTGTCTGTGTTTTCATACATTAAACCTACAAAACGCAACTATAAAAATACATCTTTGTTGGTCACGTTTTTTGTGTATAATTATAATTTAGTCTATATTTAATCCTCAACCCATAACTCAGACGCAGTTACATACTGATAGCTCACTCACTCCCAATGGGGAGCTTTTGGCCAATTCAATTGAAATAATTGTCATTTGACTAGGCATCTACTCAGTTTCTTCAAATATGTTTTTGACAATGTTAGCATGATTATTCTGCATGTGTGTCATAGTACATTATGCTGTGTGCACATCAGTGAAATGAGCTGCGCATAGTTAATTTACATTCAAGACTTTCACATACGGTAAAAACAGAGCTTTTCATCCTGGGATATTTCATAGGGTTCTAAATAGGCTGGTAAAAAAATTCTGGACATTTTTTACACTTCCCTAAGCCACATACGTTCTAGATAACAGACAACAATTCAAACATAACGTATCAATGCATTCTATAGCACCTTAAAAAAGGGATTGTATATTACAGCAAAACTCAGTACTAAGTTATTACAAGTTTGACCAAGCATCATCGCATAGAAATGTCTTTGCTGAAGACACAAGTCTCAACAAAGAGAGCATCCAAAAAAAAAAAAAAAAAAACAATTACGTAACATGAATGACTCAGTTATCAAGTGACGAAATGCAATTTTGTCATCATTCATATCTAAACTACTAACTGCTGGCATTGTTTCTGAGTAAGGGAGCTGAAATGTTGAAACGTGTATTAACATGAAATCAAATGACCACATACCATGTTGTTTGCTACTAAAGCGCATTTTATCTTATGGACATGCTACATTTGAGTCAAGCTCAGGTGTCGGGGGGAGGAGATGAGACAGATGATACAGAAAGATGCCTGAAGGCTTTCAAGTAACCTGTGCCATTCTTTAGATATGAGGTCATACCTGACCAAACATGAGACAGTCAACAGAGCAATAAAACCACACAGATGGCTGAAGTGTGTCAGAGGGAGGTAAGCGTGCAGGAGCGTGTGCGTATGTACAGGTTTTCTCTACATTGTCAGGAAAAAATAATACCTGACATTGTTGATCTTGTGGGGATGTTTGTATTTCAATTGCCTTCCTTATGATCCTTGTTTGCATAAGACAGGACTGTTGTTGTGCCCCGTCACGCCTTTCTGCAACTGCTAGCAAGCTCTTTACACTTAATGTGACAATGTGATCTTTGCAAATCCAACAGTTTTGCAAGTATTGAGTAGGTCACAAACAGAACAGGGCATCATTTTCGCATTCAGTTGACAGAATCACTGATTAGAATCAGAGTCATTTTGTTGACAGTCCAATGTAGACAGTATACATTTAGGAATGAGCGGATGTATTTTATTTCTATTAAAGTTTTTGATCATATCAATATTAACATTTTTGCTTACATTTTACTGCAAATTACATCCTAAACATGACATCTTGAAGCTGCATAACAGGTTTAATTCACTAGATTTGTAAAGTGTGTTGTACTGTATTATTCAAAAATAACTCCACCTCATTTAAATGAAAAAACTCCTCAACTCCTTCTGTCAATAATTATTAACACTCCCGTTATTCCAACCTTTGGAACACACATAAATATTTAACAATTTTTGAAAATTTCATAATATAAAATAGCAATTAAATTATGAAAATTGTGAAATTAAAGCAATAGTCGAAAGATCTGGCCGCGCCAGGTCAGGATGTGTCCGTTTATAACCTTTAAAGCGCGCTCTAGAAAACTGGACTGCCACGAATCAACCTCTCACATGCGCTGCAGGTAGGCTGAATGATAATTAAAAAATATGTAACTTAGGCTATACTGCTGTTTGCACATGCAAAATTTAAAAACCAGAAAATATACTGTACAGTAAACTGTAATACAGTTAGCATATCGATTTTATTTTGACTTGTAGCTCATGGGCCTAAAAATTTAAATGTAACCCTTAAATATTATAACCTCATTATTAAAAAGACTTAATAAATAAAATGACGTGTAGACTTAAAAGCCTAATGGCTTATGACATTTTTTTTTTTTTTACAAATGCCAACTAGACAATATCACAAAAAAAATAATTATTTTTAAAATTATGAAAAAATTTATATACCCTGTTGATTTCCATGTTATCCATGCTAAAATGTAACAAATTGTCTTGGTAATAACTGTGAATTTCTTTTTTTCGGTATCTTTTTTTAAGATATTTTTCTGGCTATGCCATAAAATGTAACTAACACATTCAGCTACTATTTTTTTAAATGACCTTAGATTGTAACATTTAACTTTTTCCTAACACTGATAGATGATTAGTTGGACACTAGGCAATGTCAAGTGTGATGACTCGGTTATGCTGATTACACTAGATTTATTAACTGGTTATACAAATAGTGAGTTATGTGTGGGCATAGTTTGAAGCCTTTACCTAAAACTTTACACATTTATACTATTTGAAAAAAGCAGAAAGAAATAGGGAGAATAAAATATAATTTAAAGCACTCATTTGGCGCTGAAGCTGTTCGTCTGCAATGCATTAATAAACGGTATTGTTGCATTAACTTTCATTGATAAAATCAATAATAGCGAAACTGTACATATTATTATTATTACTATAAAAAGAATATTACTGCCTTAAGTTAGTAACTTAGTAATGCAAAGTAAGAAATAAGTGAATAAATAGCCTAAAAGAATAAAATGCATTTTATTTTTGATGGACTTTCACATACGGTAAAACCAGAGCTTTTCATCCTGGGATATATCATAGGGTTCTAAATAGGCTGGTAAAATAATTTCTGGACATTTTGTACACTTACCAAGCCACAAACATTCTAGATAACAGAGAACAATTCAAACATAACGTATCAATGCATTCTATAGCACCTTAAAAGGGGATTATATTTTACAGTAAAACTCAGTACTAAGTTATTACAAGTTTGACCAAGCATCATCACACAGAAATGTCTTTGTTAAAGACACAAGTCTCAACAAAGAGAACATCCCAAAAAAACAATTACGTAACATAAATGACTCAGTTACAAGTGAAATGCAATTTTGTCATCATTCATACGTATCTAAACTACTAACTGCTGGCATTGTTTCTGAGTAAGGGAGCTGAAATGTTGAAACGTGTATTAACACGACATCAAATGACCACATACATTAATAATTTGTTACAATGCATTATTGTGTATGTTTCTACACTGTAATCATGATTGATTAAATACATGCATGTAATTACATCTGTAAGTAATTTCTGCATCCCCTACACCTTATCCCACTTTTAAACCTACCCATGCCTCCAAACTTGTCTCTAACACTACCCGTATCCCACCTCAAGAGCATGTTCTGCAATATATTATAAACACAGTAAATACACTGTTTTTAACTGTATTTTTGATTAAAGTGCACAGTAAATGAGGCCACCTAATATAAAGTGGGACCAAGATTATAATCACTGCTTTACTTACATGATGGACGGGCAGCACCAGGAAAGATCCACCTCCTGCACATTCAGTGATGACAGCGATAAAGCGTGGATTAGCGGCACAGAGTTGGTTGTCATGAACACTTCGAGTGATGGGGACGCCATCATAGCAGTTCTCTTTTGTGGCCGGCTTCCCAAACACATGGCGATACTTAGAACTCCGGTACTGAGGACGCCATGTCATCTATAGTGAAAAAGAAGAATCAATGAAATTAACTGGATTAATATCTGACAATTTAGCTGTGGTAAGCATATAGTATTCAGTTGTTATCCCAACAAAAGACAATGTTTAGATGTTGTATTTCAAGACATTTGTCAGGTTCATCTAAAGCCTTTAGTTTAGTTTTAAACTGATGTTTGACTGTTAAAGGCTGTGAAATCACTGAAATCATTAGGCGTAGTGACATGGAACTGCAATGTGGGCAAGACTTGAATGGAACTACTTTAGCTTTGCATTTTTCTGGATATTATTGCACAGTTTAAAATGTTCATCAAAATAAAGCATTCGACAATCCCATAGTTTTTAAGCTGAATGCCTTAACTGTCAGGTTTACTTCACTATAATGGATTAAATCTTAATCTAATTATAACAAAACTATATATCATTAGAAAGGTCTAAGACTTCTAAATATTTCAGCACGGATTCTTGATTTCGTTATGAAGGAACCCTAATAGATCAAAACCAATTTACAGTCAACCACTGAGTTATACATTTAAACCATAATATATGTATTTTAAACATAAAGCAGTTATGACAAACTGTGACATTCAAAAGCTTTACATTTCTAGTTTACATGTCTGATTTTTAAAAGATGTTACTGAGAAACAGTTGTGACAAGGATACTCATAGTCATAAACCAATGCTCTACATAAGGGGTATTCAACCCTGTTCCTGGAGATCTACCTTCCTGCAGATTTCAGTTGTAACCCATATCAAACACACCTGCCTGTAATTATCAAGTGCTGTTCAGGTCCTAATTAATTGGTTCATGTGTGTTAGATCAGGGTTGGAGCTGAACTCTGCAGCCAGGTAAATCTTCAGGAACAAAGTCGAGTACCCCTGCTCTACAGCAATTCATATTTTAAAAGTATTTAGAGGCTAAATTGCATTAAACTGCCCATTCTACTTTATAATGTGATGTCTACTTTACAAATATTGTCAAAAGTATAAAATAATATGGTTCATATTTCTTAAAACATACACAGAATAAGTGGGTGCACTTGGACATGGTCACCAATGGAAACTGCTGGTAATATTTGGTACTGCAGCCGAAATCAAATTTTTGGAGATATCAACTTCAAATTTGAAATGTACTTTGTTCAGATACTTGGCTTTGATTTTCTGTTCATTTATTCTAAAACAGATTTTGTACAATATATATTTTATGTATACAATAAAATGTCAAAGTATGCGTTTTATCATCTTCATAATCTTAAAAGGCACATAACTTTTGCTTTAGCTTTTTGAACTTTTTAACTTCAGCTACAATCTGACATCTGTCATCTTCAACATGAGGCCAAGCTTAAATGTATCCACCAAAGCATGAAAGATTGGCAATCATTGAACATGTTATTGAACAAGTTGAACGTCATTTTCATGTCAGTTAAAAAAGTGGAACATACATTTCATCAGAAGTCAGTTCAAAAGAAGATAACGTATGTGCAATTCAAAAGTGGCTCTTATAATGGCTAAATGTTGTAGTTTTAAAGGCTAGGTTTGTTTCATTTTTTTTTTCTAGATGTGTAAGAACAACTAAAGAAATCCTGAAGATACATGTTTAAGAACACAGTAGTAAAAAGAAGTCAATTTTTTTAATATACTGTCAAATTAAAGAAATAATCTACAGATAGATCGGTGCTTACTTGCACAAAATCTGAACTTGTTCCAAAGAGACTGTGCAGATTTCTACAGTACTCTAACTATCATTCCACATATCCATACATACCTGTCTTTTACATGGTCATTACATATTCCAACTAATAGTTGATAATACTCTCTGGTAATCATCCACCTCTGCAGAAAACGATGAAGAAAACAAGCCAAGTTCTACTGTCTCTGACTGAAACAATTTCCTAAACAAAATACCTGTCGGAGATATCAGCAAATACTCTGATGACTGTGTAGATAAATGCTTTGTGAAAACAATAAGACAGGTTTCAATGGGTGAAGGACAAAGCTCTCCTGTACAAGATGGAAAAGTGAGATCAAACTGTACTATATTAAAAAGAAAATCTGTCATTTCAACAACTGGATTTGCATATCTGAGATGTGTTCAGTTGAATACTCAGCAAGAAGATCTAAGAACTTGAGGGATAAAAGAGATAACAGCTTTTGACAGTTTTTAGCTGCCTGACTAGAACTACAAGCTAAAAATGGTGATTACGCAATCAAACTGACAAACACCAAACACACATATATTCACACACACACACACACACACACACACACACACACACACACACACACACACACACACACACACACACACACACACACACACACACACACACACACACACACACACACACACACACACACACACACACACACACACACACCTGACCTGAGATTTACATATTAGGAATAAAATAGCATTTTGTGAAAAAATTTGGTGTCAGAAACATTTTTAATAATGTAGACCAGAGGGGAAAAGGTGTATTTTAACTTAATGCGTGATAATTCAAAGTCACAAATAAATCCAATAATTTGTACTTTTAATATAAACACAATATGCAAAACACATTTTTAGTGGCCTGTAAGAACAGCCCAGTCATAAAAATATCGTTTAATGTAAAATACAATGTAAAAAAATCCTGGTTGCCTTAAATTTTTAAGCTGAGTCACAGTGCTTTTTACAGTGTATAACAGAATTAGGGAATTTTAGATTAATCAAAAGGGATGTTGCAGGAGTTGCTACAGAAGAATGTTTTACCAGTCTATGTTTTAAGTCATGCAACCCCCAATGCTGGGAAACACTCTCTCATTCAAACACTAAATTTACTTTATCAAAACTGGAAACTGAAGCATCCGAAGGAAACCCACAGAAACACAGGGGGAAAACTCCACACAGAAAAGCATCCCGATTCAAATGGGACTCGAACCAGAGACCGCTTTACTCTGAAGCAAACAGAGAGTTACTGTGCCGCCCAAAAGTAAAACTGTACACCTTTCAAATATTGGTCTGCAAGTTATGAATATCTCTGTAAAAAAAAGACTAAACATTTCATTTCCTACATATAATTAAGCATACATAATGTCTGTAGTGTTTTCAGCATAAGCCATCTCACTAGATGAGTACATGGACACATGAAACTCAATTCCTGAGCTGCTCAAAAAAGACAATTTTACCATTTCTTTAAGAAAAAATATGTACTTTCATATGTAAAAGACAAAATTTAAAACACAAAAAGCTGTCCAAAGTTAGATTTAACTTGAAAAAGTTTAAATTATATGCCTGTACTTTACAAAAAATAAATGTTAATGACTGTAAAAATGTAAACATGAATAACGGTGAAAGAATTGAAAGTAAAATTTATCAAAACATTTAATGTTGAAAGGCTTACAAAAAAAGAAATTAGGTTTATTGTATGGATATGCTTGTATATGTATTCTTATACAGCCTATAAAGTATTTTAAAATAAACGAAATAAGTCATTTTGCTAAATGTCAGAGATTTGCAACTTTTTTTTTTAACATTGCAGCGTGTATAAATGATCTGTATAACAGTGTATGACCATTTTACATGCACTTCCAAAAATAATAATGAAAATTATTATTATTACTACCACTACTAATACTACTACTACTGCTTCTTTTACTATAATAATAATAATAATAATAATACGTTTAAAGGAGCAATGACGATTTTTAAAGAGAAAATGAAACAGTATTTTAGTTGTAAAATGTGTATTAATTTCCATATTAGTACCCACACATGCTTAAAAGAAATGGATTTTATAGGTTGAGGAAGTTAAGAACATGAAACATTGCAACACTGCGAGCAATATAAGAGCAAACGGCAGGATTTGTATATGTTTGAGTTGTTCAGCTTTGAAAGGCTGGTGTAATGATTAACGGAGTGATGGATTAGCCAGTGTGGGTGTGGTGGTAGGTAACAATAGGTGTAAAAATCATACCAATAGCAGAACAAACTTATTAAGACTTAAAGCACAGTTAACAGAAGAACTAAAACACATCAGACAGAAAGTGGATTGCCAAATAATCAAGTTGAAAGCTGAATTTCATTTCGAAAAACTAATTTAAACAATGTAGTTGAAATGTAAAGTCAATAACTAAAAGAGCAACTTAAGCCATGAAATGTAAATGATTACAACAACAATAACAATAGTAACTCAATATAGTAATAGTAATATTTTAAAGTTAATATACATTATGCACCCCTTGTTTCTTCAAACCTCCGCAAGTCTGCAATTTGTAAAGGACTGGATAGGCAAGTAAAGTGAAAGCAGATTTTAATCAGATTTTAGACAGATTTGGATAAAAAAAAAAAAGTTGACTGGCAATCTACTTACCCTGTCTGAGCACACGGAGACCTGACAGAACAGAGAACTGTAGATGACAAAATAAAAGTGGAAAAAAATATCCGTTTGCCACTTCCACCGGTTACAAATCCATTTCAGCTTTTGTAGAACATTGCAAAAATCAAAGCGAGAAAGAAGCCAGACAACCAACACAAAGAAGAGAGAAAAGCAGATGTCAAACTTGTGCCCTGCAGCTTTAGTAAACGTGGACAGAAAGCCAGCGGCGTCCAGTGTGTGTGAGCGAAGCAGGTAAGAGATCATGTGCAAACTGAACTGAACACACTCCCTAAATGGGTGGCGCCTCACAGCAGAAAAGCACAGGGGATGAGAAGTTGTGAAGGAAAGATAACACACACATTCCCCACACTCATTTCCTCTGTGTCGGGGCCTGGCTGGTTAAGCATTATTAATTATGTATTAATACTTTTATGTTAAATAAATACAATAACAATTGTGTATTGGCCTTAAGTTTGATTTAAGAGGGGTATTTTTTATTCTAATTTACTTATTCTTTAAGTACCAATCATATAACAAGCTAATGTACTGGCATTCATCAGACTGATGAATTGATAAAAGAGAGCAGAGGTGCTTTAATATTGTTAATTTACAATCATAGTTTTTACTAGTAGTTTTATATCATTTTTGTTATTTTGGTTTTAATCTTAAGTAAAATAAAAAAAAATGAATAAAGTAAAAGTAAACTAGATAATGTCATGTTATTACTCTATAAAGAATCGCCTTGGATAGCAGGATTTATCAAAACATGTATTTATTAACAAAAACACTTACTACAAGCACTGGAACATAATACCCACAGGAGAGACATCAAGGGATGACAATACAATTTTGGATGCTAGACTGAACAAAACACAGGACATGATTACACAAATCACAAAAGTAGTGATGTAACAGGTGGAACTCATGATCATAGAAAACGGAAGGAAAACAGAACAAAGGAATCACAAGACGCAAACAAAAAGGATGATTAAAGACTAACAGAAGAACGAGGAGTCTAGGAGGAGACACGGGAGGGAGGAACCAAGAGAGGAGATGGAGGAGCTGGAGCAGGAGCCAGAAGACTCAGGACAAAGCCAGGAGGATGGCCCAGGGCAGAGCCGAGAAAGGGAGGAACCATAAAGGAGGAGTGGCCCGCGACTCCAGTGGGGGGCGACTGAGGGAGACGCCGCTGATAGTGGTGGAGCCCAAGGAGGACACGGAGAGCCGTAGGGTGAGGGTAATGCCGAGGTCCTAGAGGGCCAGGGTGGAGCAGATGGCCTATCTGGGTGGGGCGAAGATGGGAGTCCAGAAACCAGCAACGGAGCCAAATCGACAAAAGACAGAGGAGTGGAGTCTAGAGGTGCAGACAGGGCGACAATTGACCAAGGCGGAGGGATGAGGGAGCCTGGTGGAACTGGTGGGCTGACGGCCCACAGATGAGACAACACGGAGCCTTGGGGTTGAAGGGCCAAGGCAGAGTCCGCAGCTCGGAGGCCGGAGATGATGACGCCAGGGGACATCCTCCGGACATCATAGCTTGGAGACAGGCCCACAGCCAGACCTCCTCTCCTGAAGCTTGAGGGTATGCTGAGGGGCTGGCTGACAGCAGAGGGACGGGAGTTGACTGACTGGCTGCATGATCTTTCATATGCAGTGGAGGAGAGGGTGGGGTGCTGTTCATGACACTGAAGCTCACGTCTTTGAGGAACAAAGGGGCTAGGAGACTGTCTGGCTTGACACTAGAATTTGAGTAGACAGTTCTCTGTCTGCGGTGGACTCTGGCAAGCACTCCCTGCAGATGTATTGGGGTGGTCACTGGGTTTGGAGTGGCACTGGCAAGGTCCTCCTCTACACAGACGGTGAATGATGATCCATTCCTCGCCAGTGTCCACTCCACATATGAGGCGAAATTGCCTCGAGGACCATCTTCGGATGACAGTGGTCTGTATGCGGTGTTATTAGCGATGGCCAGGAACATTGTGGTTTGGTCCTCGAGGCTTAGTTACCCTGCCCCAGCAGAAAGAACAGGAACAGGAGGTGGTAGATGGGGTCCGTAAGAAGTACAAGGGGATAGGAAAGAAAACACTGGGGCAAAAAAGAAGGGGGGGGGGGGTATTCTGTCATGTTTTCACTCTATAAAGAGTCGCACTGGATTGAAGGATTTATCAAAACACATATTTATTAACAAAGACACTAACTACAGGCAATGAAACATATACATGCTGGAGAGACCTCAAGGAATGGCAGTACAATCCTGGATGCTAGACTGAACAAAACACAGAACTTAAATACACAGGACATGATTCCACAAACTACAAACAGGGGTGACACAGCAAGTGGAACACATGACATAAACACAAGAACCATGACAGATAGTTAATAGATATATTAGATTAGTAAATACTTGCTTGGATTTTTAAATATATAAAAAAAATTTAATACAAGTAACAAACTGGATTGTATTTGTATGCTTTTAGTTTTAGTTAACTATAATAATGAATCAAGATTACAATTCAATGCAGCTCAACTGTTTGCACTGATTTATGAAATGCATAGCAAAACAATTCATTCATTCATTTTCGTTGAGCTTAGTCCCTTATCTATCATGGGTCCCCACAGTGGAATGACCTGTCAACTATTACAGCATGTTTTACAAAGTCAATGGATGTCCTTCCAGCCACATTACAGTACTAGAAAACAACCAAACACTCTCTACAGCTAATTTTGTTTACCCAAATTACTTATAGCACATGTCTTTGGACTGTGGAGGAAACTGGCGCACCCGAAGGAAACCCAGACCAACATGGGAAGAAGATGCAAACTCCACACAGAAATGTCAATTGGCCTGTAACCAGCAACCTTCTTGCAGTGAGGTGACAGTGCTAACCACTGAGCCACTGTGCCAATCTGCAAAACAATAACTACTTTAAATCAGAGAATGCTACAAGGTATTTGCTTGACAATTTTGTCTAAAATGTAACTCTAAAATGTATCTAATTATCTAAAATGTAACTCATATTTACGTATAATATTTCTGGGTTAAAACAGGACAGCATTTTTTAAAGTGAAGGATTAAACGCATTAATACAAATTAAAACCTAAATTTTATGACAATTTAGTAGAATGCATACTTTGATGCAAGCTGTGAGATATGCAAGTTTCAATTTTAAATAATATTTTTTTATTCCAGACTGTATTTGTAGTGTGCTGACTTTTCTTCTATATTTATTTATTTTTTGCTCAAAAACCTAAAATTAGTTTATCTATTCTTTTAGACATGCTTCAAGTTAGTTCGCTTTTTTTTCAGCAGAATATTTGACACATAACCTTTGTGATATTCAAGTATTAATCTGTCTACTGCGTGAACTGCTTCTGATGCACTTGAAAAACAGCTTTACTTACATTTTTTACTTTCTAGTCCAAATATCTTGACTTCTCTAGTAAGGCAAAAAATATGGTCTTTCTTTCAAAAATAATGTAAAAAAAAGTTTTTCCTTAAAACAATCAAATAATCTTATGTCAAAGTAAAAACAAGTTTCATCACATTGCATTTATAAGGTTTTATCTGCATTCAAAAATTTTTTGAGATATTGAACTTCAAAGTTTTTGCATTCTATAGAACAAACTGTAAGTGTGTACATTAGTTTTTTTAAATAAAAAGTCTTAAAATGTAAACAACTGATAAAAACCTTCCCATAATGTAAATAAGTTATCATTTAATATGAAATATATCAGGGGTCACCAACCTTTTGGAAACTGAGAGCTACTTCTTGGGTATCGTTTAATGTGAAGGGCTACCAGTTTGATACACACTTTCTAATAACAGATTTGCTCAATTTACTTTTAATTATATGCTATGCTATTAATAATTAATGATATTCATCTATGTGAAGACACTGATCATGTTAATGATTTCTCACAATAGTTGTCAACAATGATTGGAAACAGATAAATATTAACCAATGCAAGTGTGATTTAAAAAGAATAGCTACAAAAAATATTAGATGCAGCTTACTGGTATGTGGTGCTATGGTAAGCTAATTTCATAACAGGCCCACGGGCAACTCATGTGATCCTCGCAGGCTACCTGGTGCCTGCGGCCACCATGTTGGTGACCCCTGACATATATTAAATATGTCAATAACTCAATTTTGACAAAAATGTCAGATAGAAACGTATAATTCTAAAGTGACGGTTTATTGTGTTTGTTTAATTTTGACATATTATTTCTGAAAACAAGACAATATTTTGCTTCTCTAAATGCTTATTGACTTAAGAATATTTAGACATTTGTTCTAGAAACTATACAAAAAAAAGCATTTTTGCAGTGTGAATAGACAGGAAAGCTGGTTTTGTGTGTGAGCGTATGAGAAGGAAAGCTCTGGTTAATACTGTGTTTTACAGCAGAGGCAAATGTGTTTATGCTTTATAAATAAGGTAAAATAAATACACAGAAATTAAGGACGGGTGTCGTAAACTCAATATAAGGAGTGTAAAACGCATGCAAGGGCAGAGTCCAGTCCACAGGTTAGGTTTAGTCTGAAAGAACAGACGGAAGTTGGATCGGTATCACTTCTTTCAGATGAGTATAAGTTTCACCTAGAAGGTGACAGAGGTGCAACTCAACACCTACAAGGCATTCGGTGATACAAATAATTGAAAAACCTGCTGACTGTGTCTTTTTTAATGACTTGCTGCAGGGCGGATGTCCATCACCAAACAAAAAAGGAGCGTTCACACTATCATTAGCGATGAGTTCAGGCCCTGTTATCCAAGCAATTAGAGAGCAGCCTGACATGCAGCTTTCTGGAAGCCTCGAACGCTGACTAATGTCCAGAGATTACAGACATTATGCTGATGAGCAGAGGAAAAGCAATGTGGCTCCAGCTCTCTTTCCTGTGTGATCTTGAATGGGGAGATCCTGCCATTTGACAATACAACCCTGGGTTTCAGTTTCTGGGCCATTAAGAGCTCACTAAATCTTAACTATGTAGATAGGGCAGCAATATTATTGTCTTGGAGGATCCAGGTCGTGGATTGTTGTTATGTTAATGGAGTCCTGAGACTCTGCTGAGAAAGACTGTGTTTTGATATGATAAATGTTGGCTTTCTAGGAGGGTCTGGCTAAGTTTGTTTATCTTTTCTCAGGTCTTATAAAATTAAGGTCTTGAGGTGAGGACAAGACATGCACGCGTGTCAAAATAACAACTTTACTGCTTTACAGCTTTAATCCAAGATAACCAGCAGCCCTACGATCCA